AGGAGACCAGCATGAACTTCCACAGCCAGTACAGGGATTAAATCCAAGCTCAGGCCTAGACCCTAAACATCAGCCTTCCTGCTCCTCTGATGCTGCTTGACCTGCTGTGTTCATCCAGCTCTACTCCTTGTTGTCTCAGATTCTCCAGCATCTGCAGTTCCTACTATCTCTCATACAAAATCCAGCTGCCTGAATCTTAACATGCTGCAAGTCCTGTTCCTCTATAACATTTGTGCATACTCATTTACATTGGCTTTAGATTCAGCAATGTTCTGTGTTGAGTTTTTCAATTTTTAGGCCAAATGTTTAATCGGGTGAGGTTTAAAGCAGGCAGTCTACCTTAGCCCATGATGACTTTTCTCCTGCAGTCTTCTGCACTTCAACTCATTATGCTTTCGGTCCCCCTGGCACCTGAGTCATGGAATCATGTGGCAATAGAGGTAGTAGAGCTTGCTGGTGCTGGGATTTTGTGATACTGCTGGTGCCATATTTAATTCGCAGCTCCATAGCACTTCAGGCTGTGCAAGACAGGAGCAGGCCTTCACACTGTGGTCCTGCTGGAAAGAGCAAGATAGCTCCTTGGTTCACCCAGACAGACTGGGGACACTGTTGGAAGGTGTGGCGGAAGGTCTTCCTGATATCTGACAAAGGAGACCACACCCACCAGAATCAGCCAGCCTGGACTGAGATAGCAGCTCAGGTCAGTGCAGTGGCCTGGGTGGAAATGCAACGCCCAGCAGTGCAGAGAGAAGGGTTAGTGATCTGTGCATTGCAGGTGTAGGTGCCATAATTGCTGTGAATCTCACTCACTCTAATTCTGCTAATGCACACTCATCTGACCAAAGCTCATGGACTACAACTCTTATTATTCCCTCCATTAAGCCCATTTACAAGCTCTCAATATCTCATTCTTCTGAGTGGACTTGATGCAAAAATCATAAGAGTTGTGGTCCACCTCTTCCAGTCCTCTGCCCTTCCTACTCATTCACAGGTGATACCTCATCTCCTGTCTCGCTCATACATCACCACTAATTGCACTTCTATCCACTTCGACAGAGCAATCCCTCCCATTTTTTCATTGCAGGAAATATTCTCTCCCCCACCCCAAAAGTAGATGGTATATGCTAACGTGACGTGCACATGAATGACTTTCACACATGGCTAATTAGTTGAGGCACATTTATATTTGTTGTATAAACTGCTGGTATATGCATTAGGTATGATATTGATGTAACACGGTGCTGCACAGCAATTTGTCCCCCTGAACTGGCATAAACTACTTGTCACCACTGTTTTTAAAAAAACAGTGCTTGCCACAGAAGCTGGAAGCCTGCAGTTAGGTGCAGAGTGATCATTAAGAAACTAAGCTAAGAGCTGTGAGGTGCATCCTGTGTAGGAGTATGAGGTGGATGTGTGTCAAGTGTCCAAAGTGACCTGGCAGGAACTTGCAAGTCTGAAGTGAAGAGCTGAAGTGGTGAAAGAGTTGATCTGAAAGAAACCATGATGATGTAGTGAGGCTGATGATTTGGTGATGCCTGCCTGAAGAATGGAAGAAGCCTCTGGAGAAAATGGGGACATTGATGTGAAAACAGTGTCATCTGAAGTCCTGGAGAAGTAAGCTGCTGCCAGGTAACTATTCTGACTTGCATGGCGGGAATTGTTGCCGTGACCTCTCTTGGAGGAGGAGAGGAAAATTGAGAGTTGCATAGAAATTAGGCAATGTGAGCTATTAATGAAATGCAAATGTGTAGGCATAAGGTAGTTCAGCTCATTAGTGAGACTCAGAACTTGTTTTTTAAACGCTAAGGGGAAAATTGGAAATATTTTACCTGAACTTGAACATCTGATTTTCCATTTTAGCTGTATTTTCCCAATTTACTCACCATTACCTATATCAGTCAAAGGAGTAGAAAATGCCGTGAGCTTGACCTTAAAATCCCCATCCGTTTTTTCAAGGCCCTCCATGGCTTTGCTCTTCTATATCTCCCTAATCTCCTCCAGTGCCACAACCCACTGTGAAATCAGGGTTCCACTAATCCTGGCCTCTTTGCTGCTACCAATTTGAATAGCTCCACCACTGGAGATTTTTCTAGGCTTTGTGATTAGAAATCCACTCCTTATAATTTACTGCCTCTCAACTTTCTCCTTTAGTGCAGTCTTTCAAACCTAACTCGTTGACCAAGGTCTTGGTCATCTGACCTAATATTTCCTGATGTAGTTCAGTATCATACTTTGATGTATAATGTTCCAGTGAAGTGTCTTGAGGCATTCCTCATCTTAGAGGGTATACAAATATAGTTGTTGTTGTAAATGTGGAAACCAAGTCACAAATGGGCAGTAACAACTTTAATTCCTCCAGTAAGATACAGAGTAAGTGGTTTGGTTTGGATTTGCTTGCCAACAAAAAAGGACTGAAAGTTGATGAATATATCACCATGAATCACTCTCATGAACCTCCTGTGAACTGGTTACAAAGCTTCTAATGTCTGGAAGCTGGTGTTTACCTGCTTTGTGGTATGAACGGGATGAAAAAGTGGATAGAATAACTAAACAAATAGGCTTAGACAAAGAAGCTAGTGTTTTCTTATCAGGAGGAGCAAAGCTCTATTATAGTGGCAGCAGAGAAAATATTGATTTTAATGTTTTGGTTTAATGGTGAAAATAATAAGTTTGAAAAATCTTTCCTGAAAAATGTAATAGAGTAACTTAATGAAATCTTTTGCATAAGTGTGAACATTTTAAATTTAGTTAATGACCAAGTTACTAAAATATTTCTGCTAGATCTTTTATAGTTATCTTGAACACTTGCTGTTGTTTAAATTGTCGTTCTCAAGCACAAATCCTTCTGCATTCCTTCTGGTAATTATATTGCTTTTTATTTGATATCCATATAAGAAACTTTACATGGAGGTGGCACCTAGAACATGTCATTATATTTATTTGCTCCTTCTTACCAGATAGCACATAGGATGCAATAATGAAGTAATTTGATTTTATTCCAAATGTGCATAGTAGAATGTTACTGTAGAATTTTCATTACGTAATTGAGTTTCTTTATTTTCTGGGGTTGGATCCTATGTGCTCTTTTAATCTGGTATTTTATTATGTTGTCTGTAGTGTCATTTTAATGTAATGTGCTGTTCTTTGTGTCTTTGTTGTCTCTTTTTTTTCTTTGTTCCAAAACAGCATTTTGTCCCGCATAGGGAGGAAGGACAACCAGGATGGCTCCAATTTGACAGTGCCCATGACTATGTGTCTTTTTCCTGTGCCATTCCCACTCACCCCATCCCTAAGACCACAAGTCAGTTCCATCAACCCTACTGTTACTCGCTCCCTCCTTTACAGCGTCCTCCGTGATGCTCCCTCTGAGCGTAGTCAGCAAAGTCGTGATGCACAACTTTCAGAATACCCTTCTTTGGACTATCAAGGCCTTTATGTGACATTGGTGACCCTGCTTGACCTGGTTCCTTTGCTACAACACGGCCAACACGGTAAGCAGTGGCTGATATATTAGTGGAAATTATCTTAGGGAAATACCAGCTTGTGTCTGATACTTAGTTTTGCAGCAATTTACGCGGCTTTGTATTAAATATTTCTCTGTAGTTTAGATACATATGTTTTAACTTAGTATCATTGAATTCAGACAGCAAAGTGACTATTTTTGAATCAAACGAATCTTTTCTGAAGGTTGAGAATGATTCAAGTCAGTTGAATAATGAATAATGTGCAAGGCTGTGGGGTAAAAGCAGGAGATAGGAACTAGATAACGATGCTCATTTAATGAGCTGTTGCAGGCACAAATGGCCAAGTGGCCTTCTGCAAAGAAACACTTCTGTGATTCTCTGAGCCTGTGGATGTGCTTATCACTTAGGTGCTTGCACATATTTAAACGTGACTAGAAAGTGTAAATATCAGAATATTCAGTAAACCTTAGCAGGGATTTGGAGCAATAATTACAAGCAAAAATTTCTCTCCAGCATTCAATTCTAATAACTCGTGTCACTCTGTTGCAATCATTGCTATGCACAGCACTACTATGGAAAACCACATAGTTGCCTTATAATTTTGTTCTGACTTCCAATGTTTCTGTCCCTTAATTGGGAAAGAACGATACTGGATGTGACAGTGTTGGTTGTAACCATGCCAAAATATACGTTTCAAAACACATTGTTTACCTGAAAGGGACTGTTTCTTGGCCATTATTTTTCTTCCTGATTTTGAATTGATTCCATTTATTAGAAGATTATTTATGTTTTGTTTTACTTAAGATTCCCTTTAAAGGTAATTTCCAACATTTTAATTCTTGGATCTCCTTTTGCTGAACATGCCCGAGTTACTTACTGGCAGCTTGCAGCCACCGACAAAATTGATGGAAATATCTTTCAATGAATTTTCTTCTGTTGTTCCTGTATTTTTCCTTTGGGAAGTCAATAATTTCCTCTGTTGGAGATTACTGGTACCTGTAAACCTGAACGTTGACTTTCCTGCTCCTCTGTTCCTCCAGCTCCACACTGTGTATTGATTTTGATTCCAGCGTCTGCAGTTCTTGCTATCTCCAACTTTAATCTGACCATTCATTGTTGTAGAAACATGGGGCTGAATCTTACAGGGGTGTGTATTGCTTGCCACTTGACCCAGGAGGTAAAGTTGGTCCTGAATTGGCCAATATGATGCTAGGCTGGCTTGCAGCAATAGCATATTATGGGTGGTCTTAAGGATTTGAGTGTCAGAATTTTGTGCCTCAGTTGGAGACAGTGCACCTCCTTGAGAAACCAGCAGATCTAACATTCATGACTAGGAGGCCCACAAAGATTGAAGAATGGTTCCCAGACCCATGTAAGTTGAGTTGGATAGTTTTGGGGAACATAAGGAGAAGAGGAAGGCGGCATGTTTTGGTGACCAGCTCAGAAATAATACAAAGGGTAACAGGAGGTGGGGGTGGAGAGGCGGTGGTAGTGGTGGGTGCCCCTTGATGCACACAGGGCCGTCTTCAAAGAACATACAACACTTCTTGTCTTTTTACTAGTTTCTTCTCCCTATGCCAACCATATTATGATGTGGGATGTGCAATAATCAGGTCAATTAGCTGGTTAGCAATCTTAACTGTCCATTAATTAATTACTCAAATAATGGCGGTAGGCAGTTGATTTCAGCATCCAACCACCTACTGTTCTATGGGGTCTGGTTTATGAATGGGCATGAAGGCAGTGGACTATCCAGCTGACATAGTTTATGTGCGGCACCTCCTGATACTCTCAGAAAAAAAGGCCATGTGCATCTCCAAACTCTAGCCCATGCTTTTGTTGTCATCAGATAGCAGGAGCTTTGCTGAATGTGGCCACACCAGCTGCTATTTTATTTTAATGTTAAATTAAGTGAGTTTATGGCAGCACAGTGAGATTCCTTCCCTAAGGTTGGCGGAGGTCATTTGCATCACGTCCTAGTTAAATGCTGATAGTTTTTCAGTGGAAATATTGAACTAAAGAACCATTTTGAAAGAAATTAGAAACTTCAGAAGCTCATTGAGTATTGAAATGAGGACTTTATACCAAAGGCAATAAGCTCTGTAGATCATTCTGCTTGTAGTTTTCTGTGTAATTCCTGACAAACATCTGATTCAGCCAGTGAGACACGGTGTTGTTGTGAGAAGCCACATTTACTAAACCCTGAATATAAAGTCCAAAGGTCAATTGTTATGTATTTCATGATTTGAATGTTAGGCAGTATTGTAACTTCAACCTAATATCCAAACTACTAAGATGATTTGGATGTGAACAGAAGAGGTATGGTTAGTAAGTTTGCAGACCACCAAAATTAGTGATGTAGTGGACAGCCAAGAAGTTATCTCAGAGTACAATGGGACCCTGATCAGATGGGCTGAGGATTGACAAGATGGAGTTTAATTTAGATAAATGTGAGGTGCTGCATTTTGGAAAGGCAAATTAGGGCAGGATATAAAAACTTAATGGGAAGGTCCTGGGGAGTGTTGCTGAATAGAGAGAGCTTGGAGTGCAGGTTCATAGTTCGTTGATAAGTGGAGAACCAGGTAGATAGGATAGTGAAGAAGGCATTTGGTATACTTGCCTTTATTGGTCAGCACATTGAGAATAGGAGTTGGGAGGTCATGTTGTGGCTGTACAGGACGTTGGTTAGGCTACTATTGGAATACTGCATGCAATTCTGGTCTCCCTGTTATAGGAAGGATGTTGTGAAACTTGAAGGGGTTCAGAAAAGATTTACAAGGATGTTGTCAGGGTTGGAGGGTTTGAGCATATAGGGAGAGGCTGATCAGACTGGCGTTGTTTTCCCTGGAGCATCGGAGGCTGAGAGGTGACCTTGTATAAGTTTATAAAATCATGAGGGGCATAGATAGAGTGAATAGCCAACATCTTTTCCCCAGGGTAGCAGAGTCCAAAACTAGACAGCACAGATTGAAAAGGGACCTAAAGGGCAACTTTTTCACACAGAGGCTGGTGTGTGTGTGTGGAATGAGCTGCCAGAGGAGGTGGTAGAGGCTGGTACAATTACAACACTTAAAAGTCATCTGTATGGTACAGGAATAGGAGGTGTTTAGAGGGATATGGGCCAAATGTTGGCAAATAGAAGTAGATTAATTTGGGATATCTGGTTGGCATGGACGAGTTGGACCAAAAGATCTGTTTCTATGCTATACAGCTCTATGACTCTATGTTATATTTAAATGCTCATGATAAACTAATAATAGTTTGTCCAAAGTATTTGCATTGCTTAGGATTCTTCTCATAATATAGGAGCAAAGATAGATGGATGTTTTCTGCTTTCAGAAATAACAAGAAGCAAGCACAGAGAAGAGGTGGTTGAGAGGAGATTTTATAGAATTGTTCAAAATCATGAGCGATCTGGAGAGAATAGATATGGAGAAATTGTTACTGTTCCCATCGCTAGAACATTTGAGAACTAGGGGACATTGATGTAAGGTGATTGTCAAAAGAACCAAAAATGACAAAAAAAAATTTCACACAGTGAGCGCTTAGTAGCAGTAATGCATTGCCTGAGAGTGTGGTGGAGACCGCTACAATGATGTCTTTCAGCGTGGAATTCAAATGTATCTGAAGAGAGAAACTTTCAGTGTTGTGGGGAAAGAGCAGGGGTCTGGGACTAGCTGAGTTACTTTTGGAGAGAACTTACACTGCACAATGGGCTGAATGACCTTCTTCTGTGCTACAACTATTATATGATTTATGTTACTGAAACCACATACCAGATTTTGCTATAAGAGCTGCTGTTCATTAAACTGGCTCATAGACTTCCTATAGGGTTTTGCATTGTGTGTTGCTGTCCATGGGACAACTGGGATCTGTGTGAACAGGATAAGCAACTGTACATCCTCTTAATAAATAAGATTAAAAATAATTGATAGGAGTGTAGATTCTGAATTAGCAGGAATCTGTTAAAATAATTAATTCAGTGTAAAATCAGGTACGGAGAGCAAATTAAAGTGATTCAATTACAAGAAATAGAAGTAAAAGAGATATAATAAAAATAGAAATTCAACATTTTTAAATAATTTTCCATACCGTGAAAGTTATTTGGCAGCAATTAAGCCTTATTGTTGTGTTAAAGATTCAGTTATAAAGATAGGATGGAATGAATAGGCCCAAAATTTCTGTGGTCTTTGAATTTATATTGTCACTACATACCATCATGTTGTTCAAGAGATTTGTACGTGGACCTGGATGTTGAGATGATGAAGAACAACATAACTTGGACAGGAACTTCCAAATTTATATCATTGCTTGCTGTTTGATTTTTGCATAAATAATGGAAAATGCTGTCAGCCTCACCAGTATTTTTACAGCAAAATGTGAGGCATTGCTTCACATAGTGAATTTGCACATGACCCAAATATTGCAGTATACCAAATCCATTAATTTAATGAATCACATGGAATTCCTGATCAAATAAAAGTTCCATGACTCAAATACAAATAAATTGCAGTTAACTATTTATTTATGCGTCATACAGTTTTTGACAGTCATAACTGCAAGTCATTATAAAGACATTAATAGCCTGTTCTAGAGGATCACATTTTGAATTGTGAAATATTTAGAATTAGAAATGAGAATTGGAATAGCAAGACATGAGGGGTTAAATGGACTAAGATACTAATGTATATCACAAGTTAATCTTAGAACCTTGATCCAAACGTGTGATCTTTTTTCAGGCAAACTGCAGAGTTTACTAGGATTGTTTTGTATTTAACTTTGTTTTTTCTTCTTTTAAACAGACTTGGGACAATCCATATTTTATACAACAACATGCTTGCTACCATTCCTCAGTGACGACATTTTGAGTACTCTACCTTATACCATGATTTCCACTTTAGCAACATTTCCTCCATTTCTTCACAAGGATATCATTGAATATCTGAGCACATCTTTCCTCCCAATGGCAATATGTAAGTTTTTTGTCAGTGCCTTAGAAACACGCATTTACAACGTTACACTATCTCTCTTTTTCTTCCTCTGTTTCCATGTAATCAGTGTGGTTTTCTCATTGTTAACACTTTGCTATTTTTTTCTTTGTGTTAGTGGCATAAGTGGAAAGAGAGCCTGCTGCAGTTGGAGCGTGTTAACGTTTATCAATTTTTTTCTTATTGTATTCTGTTTCAGTTTTATGAATGGCATTTTAGTACACTTCTGATGTATTTTCCTGATGCTTTTTAATCTAACTAGTTAATTTCCTGTATCGTTTGCTTTTGGATGGGAACAGGAGGCCAGGCTTGAGCTGAGAGAGAACAGGGAACAAGATGGATTGAGAGGGAGTGGCAGAAATGTATGTCTGAGATAGAATAAGAAAAATGAGACTTGAACTAAAGAAAAAGGCAATGGTAGAGAAATGTTTATGGACAATGATTCCTTTACAGCTAGTCTGGGAGCAGCTATTGTTAATTTCTTCCAATTAAATTCAATTTAAAATCCTAAATGTGCAACACTTAGTCATCATGCTGCCGTCACATCATCCTATCTGCACTTAAGATCGTATAGACATAATTAAACCATAACAGTTTATCTTTTCTGAAAAGTTTTTGAAGCTGTCTTGTAGGCTGTTCTTGAGCTCCTGGAGCAAATATCCACAATATTTTACAACATAATTGATGCATTTCCTGCTGTTTGGATTAATTACTCCACTTTCCTCCAATGTGTTGCATATCCATAGTTTATTTGAACTCATAAAAATCCCCCTGATTCACCTGATGTGGTGGCAGAGTTGTCCACTGAAAGTTGCGACAAAGCTTTGTTTTGATACACTCTCATTGAGGAGATGAAGCTGAAGTGAAACAGGTTGCTGCATTCCACCTTTCCAGAATTTGTGTACATGTCAGCCCTGCCTTAAAAGAGGAAAGCTACTTCCAGACAAGGAGGGAATGCAGAGACTGGAACTAAGGAGGGATTGGAGGGATTGCATGATAACACACGCACTGAGGCCAAGAGCAAACAGAAATATAGTGGACCAGAGTTAGAAGGTGTGGAGACGCTGAGATCTAGGGCTGGAGAATAAGACTGAACAATCATGACACAACTTTTATAAACAAATATAGATATTGTAGTTCATTTTTCAGTTGGAAGTTTGATATTTACCAAATATTCTCTCTAGTGGGATCATCTAAGCGAGAAGGTGTTCCACCTTATGTGAATTATTCTGCATCTTCAATGCTGATGATTGCTATGCAGTATACCACAAATCCAGGTAGGTGCAAAACAATGGATAAATGTTTTTGGATGAATATCAGAACAATTCTATTGATTGAAAGTTGCATTAATATTGTCGCTAAAGTATATTTGGAGATAAATTTTGACCTTTGGGAATTTCTCTACTGTTATTTATTGATCTAATTAAATATTAACAGCGAACATGAACTGCATCATCTTAAATTGTACATTGTAGTTGGAACAGTTTGAAAGTTAAATTTACTATTCAATGTTAAAAGGTTAGTGTCAAAAGATATACATATATAAAATCAATATTAATCAATGATTAATTTATCTGACCCAGTCACCATCTCCTATTCCTTTTGCCCTCATGAATTTACATTGTTTCCCTTTAAATGGCACAACTACTTCATGTTGCCGTCAGTTTCACACTTTAAAGCACTCTCTGAATGAATAGGTTTTTCCTGAATTTTATTTCGGATTTATTGGTGATTATCTTATATTTATGACTTCCAATTTTGTTTGCAGTATTGTTGAGTTGCTTCTCCTCGAGTTGAGAATAGTTATCTAATCTTTTATTTGTGTCAAGTACATGATGGGTTCTTTTATTTGCTAAGCTCATTCATGACATTCCTAAAGTTGTCTTCAGTTTCTCTTAACTTCAGTGTGAGATTATATTTTAATGTATTTCTTAGCACTGGTCTACCACATTTTAGGAGCCTATAGCCTATTCACAAGCACCATATTTTAAATACTCATGAAATAATTTCAATACAAGCATGCATAAAATGCATGAATATACATAAACCTTTTGACATAATTTAAAGTAGTCAACATTTGATTTGTCCTAATTGTGAAAAAGGGTACAGTAGTTCAATAAAATAAGTATTACTTAAAAAAGAAACTTTTGTAAATAATACTGCATTAAGTAGTTATAATTAACGTTTTCATATTTAAAATTAATTTCAGTGTTTTGAAGATGCAAAAATCATGCTAAGTTTTATTATCTCTAATTTTAATGAAATTATTACTACAATCATGAAATGATGATATCAATAAATGCTTCTTCGAAACTGTTTTGCATAGTGTACCATTGCCAGCTTTTGGAAAGCCTTATGAAGTACAAGCAAGAAGTCTGGAAAGTAAGTGAATATTAGAACATCTGTCATAATAATTGTTCTGTTATTTATTGTAATCTATCTTAAGTTGTTTAACTGCCTGAGAAACTGCATTCATCAATCCAAACAATAAACTTTTCTATTTTCAACTGTCTTTATCTGGGATGTTTCTGTTGTGCATCAGCAGAAATTATGTTTTTGGAGGAAGCTATAGCTTCCTATCTTAATTAATTATCTGCAAACTAGTAAGGTTATGTGACCATTGTTTGGGATTTTGAATTAAATTAGTTTCATGATTAGTGCTTACTAAAGTAAGTTGAACCATAGTCCATCCCTAGACCTTGACTCACACTTAAGGCTCTGAAATGAAGCGTGGGCAGTTGGCATATATTCTGAAATGTGTGTCACTGGGTGACACAGTACATTTAGGAGAAACTGAAACAGTGGCAAAACAAAGATAATATAAATAACTTTTGAGGTGGTGGCAACTGTTTTGCGTCATGAACGCAACAAAAATATGTGTATGTGCAAAGAAGTAGCTGATAAATTATTTATTGCCACAGGAGATCTTGAACTACATTCAGCTTGACTGGATACTACTCAAAAATTAACTTGATTGTTTACATGTTAGTAACTAACCAGTTATTATACTCAACATTTCAGTCATCAGTCTAATTGGAGCTAATGTTTTAAAATGCTGGTGCTAATACAACTGTAATGGAAATAATTAGTGCATTATATGGATATAGTGTACATTAATGGTAATGCTGGTAAAGATATGCATGTACCAAAGTTTTGCAAAATGTAAAAGTGTTTTTCTGTGCTGCTTTAGGATTTGTTGTATGTGATTGCATATGGCCCCTCTCAAGTTAAGCCTCCAGCTGTTCAAATGCTTTTCCACTACTGGCCTAATTTAAAACCACCGGGTGCTATCTGTGAATACAGAGGGCTTCAGTACACAGGTATGACATTTTTAAATAAAATACATATTTAAAATTAATTCAATGCACTCTATTTACTAAATACAATTTGCTTTTGCTGCTTCAAAATTATTTTATTCATTTTGGATGACTCATAACTGGAGGGAACAACAGTTTAGAAGGGCTGCTGACTGTTGCTTTGATTGAACTCTACCACAGCAACCTTGGTATTTCTGTACACAGCTAAGTATAATTGCCATCGCAGTATGAAGTATGCCATCATTTCACATTGTAATTATAAGCTTGAACCAGTAATGGTTCATGGAAGATGATTGACAGGAATTGTTTTCTCTTATGTTTGTGTAATTTAATTTTATTGTGTTTAAGGATAAACATTTACATTTTGAAATTCATCTATGGGAACTGGGTATTGATGAAAAGCCCAGCATTTGTCGCCTATTTATAATTGTTGCTGTGGTGGTAAGCTGCAATCTTGATCTGTTACAGTTGATGGGGTACAGGTACATTCCCACTATTGTTTGGGAGGGAATTTCAAGATTTTAACCCAGCTACAGTGAAGGAATAGTGATGTGTGTCAAGTTAGGCTTGTGTTACTTGGAGGGAAACTTGAAAGTGGTAGTGTTCCTATATGCCTGTGAAGCCACCTCTCGTCTAAGGCTTACATCGATGTGGAGGTTCACCATTGCATTCTACCCATGAGCATTGACTTCAGAAACCTGAGGATGAGATTCTTTAATGACCTTGACATCCGTGCCCTAATACCAAGATTCTTGAGTATAAGGCAGTCATCCTTCTATATGACTCCAAAATGCAGACAATGTTCAGATGCCACTCAAGGCCCTTGAGAAATGCCATCAATGTTGTTTGAGATAGATTCTTAGCATCAGCTGGGAGTACAGGCATCCTAACATCATTGTTCTTGAAGGAGCCAATTAGCACCAGCACTGAAGCCATGATTGTTTAAAACCAATTGTGCTAGGTTGGCCACATGCTTAAGACGCCTGAATTTCTACTGTCAAAAGTGTTACATTTTTGTACAATGAAGGTGGAAAAACAGTATAAATTAAGGGGTACTATTTCAAAGTTCGTGCAGGAGCAGAGAGACCTGAGTGTACGTGGTCATAAGTTGTTCAAGTTGGTAGGACAGGAAGAAAGAATTGTTAGTAAAGGTTGTAGTATTTTAGGCTTCGTTAATAGGGGCATAGAGTACAAGAGTAAGTGTTTATGTTGAACCTATGTAGGACACTAGTTAGACGTCAGCTGTGTTGTTTATAGTTCTGACCACTACTGTTTTTAAAGAAAGGTGTGGATATATTGTGAGAGTGCAGAAGAGGTTTACAAGAATGGTTCCAGGAATTGGAAACTTCCCTTGTGAGGATGGATTGGAGAGGTTGGGACTGTATTCCTTGAAGAGATCAGAAGAAGTTTTCAACATCATGAGGGGTCTGGGTGAAGTAGATTGAGATATTTTGTTCTTGCTGCTAGGAGGATCGAGAACCATAGAATAGATTTAATGTGTTTTGCAAAAGAAGCAAATGTGAGATGAGAATTTTTTTCATACTCACTGGAGTTAAGGTCTGGATCTGAATCTGTCTCGTTTAGTGTGAAATTTACTGCATGGAAGTATGATGGAGGCAGGTTCAGTTGTGTCATTCAGGAGGGCTTTAGATGATTATTTAAATAGAAACACCATGCAAGGCTATGGGGAAAAGGCAGGACAGTGACACTAAGCCAAAAGGCTCAGAGTGCCAGTGCAGATACAATGGGCTGAATGGCCGCCTTCTACACTGTAACAGTTCTTTGATTGTGTGACAGATCCAAGCTGGGAATAAGTGAGCACGTTAATGTTAAGTCCCTTTTGATTTTACTGCTGAAGACATTCATCTATTAATTTACTAATGATTGAAAATAGATGGGATGGCAAATGACTGAATTGAATTTCACTGTTTTTTCTGGACAAAATATAACTGGGAAATTTTTCAAATTGTTAACCAGATGCCAGTGTTGAAACTTGGCTAGAGGAGCGGTTTGTTCTGGAACACAATTTTTCAGCACTGCTCTTTGAATCTTGTCAAATACTGTGGCCATTACAGTATCCAGTATGCTCTGTCACTCACTGAGATTATGTGGAATGAATAAACTTGGAGATGGTGAATACTTGGGAAGAAGCTGAAATGGATTATTCAGTTCGCACTTCTGACTGAAGATGGTTGCAAATGCTTAAGCCTTGTCTTTTGCACACATGCTCAGCTTCGCTGCTATTGACAAAGGGGATACTCATGGAATCTTTTCCTCCTATTAGTTATATTAATTATCTACTACCATTCACAACTGGATATGGCAGGACTGCAGAGCATGGCTGTGATTAGTTGGTTGTGTCCTAGTCTGCTTCTTCCCCAGTTTGGTTGTATGTTCCATTGTTCAGCAGTGTTTAGCGGGGAGGCAAAGACTTAGTGGTATTATCACTGGACTGTTAATCCGAAGACTAATCAATTTGGAATTAAGACTCTGATGATGATCATGAATTCATTGTCAATTGTTGGAAAAACCTAGCAGGTTCACTCATGTCCTTTAGGGAAGAAATCTGCCATCCTTACTTGGTCTGGCCTACATGACTCCAGACCACATTAATCTGTTTGACACGTAACTGCCCTCTGGGGAATTTAGGGATGGGTGATACATACTGTCCTAGCCAACAATGCCCTCATCCTTTGAATGAATGAAAAAAAAAAGTCATGTTTTGTAGCTTCTTTGCATCTACATGATCCTACTCTTGGACTGCCTTTTTGCAGTTCACATTGGACTAGGGTTGATCCTCTTACTTGGTAATTAATAGTGGGGTAAGGAATGTACTGAGCCATGGTGTACAGATGGTTAGAGAATACAATGCAGCTGCTGAGGCCATGATGCCTCATCTGTACCCATTTTTGAGTTGCTTTTGGAATCTGTCTCATTTAGTATTGTCGTCCTGCCACATACACAGTAGGGATGCTGTCAGTGTGAAGCTGAGACATTGTCTCCATAACAACTGTATTGATATACCAACGTGTCATGTACTTGCAACAAGTTGATTATTTAGGTCAGGGCCAAGTATCTGTGGAGAAAGAAACAGAGTTAATGTTTTTAGTCCAGTATAATTCTTTCTTGAAATGTTAACTGTTTCTCTCCACTTATGCCGGCAGACCTGCTGAGTTCTGCACTTTCTGTTTTTGTTTCAGATCTGTAGCATCCACAGTACTTTGCTTTTATTTCATTAGAAATGATGCTGCCAAACAAATAATGGTGATGGACTCCCCAATCCTTCACAAGAACACATTCTATGCCCTTGCTGCCCATGGTGCTTCTCCCAAATAATGCTCAACATGGGGTTTCATTAGTCGAAGAGGGATAGTAGATGACAATTATTAGGACATTTCTTTTGCCCACATTTGACTTGAGACTTTAATGTTGACCTTATGTTGAGCTTAACTAATTTTAAAACTTGTGAAGGTCAGTTTTATCAGTAAATTTAGAAAAAAATCAAAACCATTTACATTATGCCAATTAGTTATTTGTGTTCAAAAGACTGAATTTAATTTTCAGAGACCTTTTAAAAATCCACAAATGTGAAATAATGGAACCTTCCAATTCACCCTGGGGGCATGGCTAACTTCTGGGCAGGTTTGACAAGTACTTTGACGTTGTGTAAAGTAGCTCAAAAGGTCGTGGAAATTAGATTGCACTGAATGTAATTTGAGTTTAAGGTTCCATGATTTTTTGCGTGAAGTGCAGTGATTGGTTGCTAGATTCATTAAGATTCTATTTAAATTAATGTGTTTGAGTTGACACTATGAACTTATCATGCACAGAACTAAGGAAATTGTATAAAAGTACCTAGAAACTCAGCTGGCCAAAGTCTGTTTTAAAATTGAGATTACCATAATTACTTGAATTGCAGTAAATGAATACAAGAAATGTCTATTTTTGTAAAAAGCACAGTTTGACTTCATATCAGTTATGAATATTTCATCATTTATCACGAAAGCAACAAATTACATGTCAATCACAATTATTCATTTTGTGTATTTGCATCTCATGGTTTTCACTTTCCTTCAGCATGGAATCCAATTCACTGTCAGCATATTGAATGCCAGAATGCAATCAACAAACCTGCTGTGAAGGTATTTTGAAAATCTTTGTCTGTTAGGGATATACTATTGTTATCTTAATTGGGGTGGCCATTTCTCAGAGTAAAATGCGAGCTCTTTAAGGAGCACATCCAATTTTCATTATCTTTCATATCTTGGTAATAATGCAGTGAAGCGGCATGCATCCTCTGTGAAGAACCTGCCTGATTTTCATTCATAATGAACATTTTCCCCAGACTGTTACAGAGCTTGAGGGCTCACAGTAAAGGGATGTAGATTGGAAAGAGATTGTTAGGACCCATTCTGTTGTGGGGAAACACTACAACGTAGGCCATTGCACAGGAGAAGTTAAGCTTCCTGTTGCTGAGAGATTGCAAGTGACATGAGATTAACTTGAAGAGTCAGCAGAGATCACTGATGGTTGGAAAATTATTGCGGGCAGAGATGGGGGTGTCAGGGCATTGATGATTGTGGGGAGAGTGTATTTGGTAATGGTCAGTCACATTGGTGGGAGGATTGTGGATCTGGTTCTGGTAGTAACATTAGAATCCCTATAGTGTGGAAACAGACCCTTCAGCCCAACAAGTCCGCGCCGACCCTCAGAGCATCCCACCCAGACCCATTCCCCTATAACCCACCTAATCTACACTATGGGCAATTTAGCATGGCCAATCCACCTAGCCTGCACATCTTTGGACTGTGGGAGGAAACCGGAGCAGCCGGAGGAAACTCACGCAGACACAGGGAGAATGTGCAAACTCCACACAGACAGTCACCTGAGGGTGGAATCAAACCTGGGTCCCTAGTGCTGTGAGGGAGCAGTGCTAATCACTGAACTACGTGCCGCCCATGGTAGTATTTGGTCTGATTCTAGAAAGGGAAGTGGGTTAGCTTGGAGACTGTGAGGAAGCACTCTTTCATAAATATTTTATATGATAATCTATTTAACTATGTCAAATGAATGATAGTTTAGTAAAATCGGTCTCCTTTAAACCAGCATGTAGACAACAATATGCAATTGATGAAACTTTGTATTGATTTGAAATTATTTTCAAAGGCTTTTTCCATCTTAAACGAGACAGAAACCCTGGTGGAGTAATTTCAGTATATATTCAATAAAATAATTGGCAACTGGAGAGGCCATAATGAAAGTTTAAAACTGCAACTTTCCATTTCAGAGGAAGAAGACTCAAAATGTTCTTTCAGTGTTTGACTTTAAATAAAAGCCACTAAAATTTCTCTTTCTGGGCATTCCTCCTTCTTTAATATGTTTGGAAATGCATTTCAGTCAAATTATACTATTCTATTTAATTTGTCTTTTTTGGTTTTGCATGCTCAACAATTGCATATAAAATTAGTACAACAATGATGAAGGATTAGCAATGACATTATAACCATGGAAATGTTAAACTCAAAAGGGGGCCATTTGGCCATCTTGTCCATGTCAACCCATTATCTGATATTATCCAACCTTAAAGTAGTTTTCATCAAATATGAGTCAAAAACATAAATCTCCCCTGTACTTCACTGTGCATCAAGAAATCAGTCTTAGAATTGCCCTAAAACACACTCCAATTCTGTAAATTCTTACACTTTTGTCCTATTACTCTACCATTTAAACTACTACTGTTTTTGGCTTGTTAACAGAGGTAAGAGACATTGGTATTGGAACCTTTTGCAATTTTGGATTTGTACCAGTCCTTTCTATTTGAAGGTGTAGATAAACTAAAACCTATCTGAACTGTTCAGCTAATCAATGCTGCTTGTTTTGCTATCAAGATCCTTCAACTAGCAGCAAAGCAATAATCAGTCTCCTTTATATAATTCCTTTAATGTCACATGACCGTTCACATGAGTGTTATCAGAAAAGATTCAACACAGCATCACGTGAGGAAATGTTGTGATAAGAGGCTAAAGCTTGGTAAAGAGGTAGGTTTTAAAGGGTATTTTAAAAGAGGAAACAGAAGTAGAGACATTTAGGGCATATATTGCTGCGTTTGGGGCCTAGGAGCTAATGGCATAGTCACCAGTAGTAGAGTGCAGGAAATCAGGGTGCGCAAGATGTCAGAATTGGAGGAAGGCAGAACTTTGAAACAGTTATGGTACTGAATAAGGATATGAAGTAAGGGAGGGTTGAGGTCATGAATGAGAAAGGCCAGAACAAAGAATGGCATAAAGCCATGATGCTCATTTGGAGAGTCAGTATAGATAGGATGGAGCAAAAGGCTTCCTGCTGTATCATTAGTATTTTGCGATTTGTGAAAATTTTGATTGAGGCTGTGAGTATTTGGCTGTTTTTCCTGAAATTGATTCCTGTTGCTAGCTACTGTTTTTCATTAAAGAAGCAAATTTCAGTTATGATTTGAGTTCTGTTGAACATTTTGCTTGATGTGATGAACTAAACTATAGGTTTTTAAAATTTCTCTTTTAAAGATGTGCATAGATCCATCCATTTCTGTGGCATTAGGTGAAAAACCACCTCCGTTATATCTGTGTGAAGAATGCAGTCAAAAGATTGCAGGGTGAGTACCATTTATTTAATTAATGCTAGTTACATCACTAAAACTCTATTATGATACATATTGCCAAATCATTTCTGATGAACGGTCTAGGCCCGAAACGTCAGCCTTTCTGCTCCTATGATGCTGCTTGGCCTGCTGTGTTCATTCAGCTCTGCACCTTGTAGTCTCGGATTCTCCAGCATCTGCAGTTCCTACTATCTCTCACCACAAGGCAGCAGTCTTTATATGAAACTTTATTGTCCTCTCCATTCTTTGAATAGAGTAATAACTGTTGTCAATTTCATTTTTTATCATGTTAGTTGAATATGTATATCAGTATGCCTTCCTTTTCAGTTTGGAAGAAAGATTTTCACACATATGTGAATCTGCCTCTGTATTTTTGGATACTGTAAATTTACCGTTTATTTCCAGGTGTTTCTATTCTTATTTTAATCTTTCATTTTTCTTTTTACAGAATCCAGTCTGAATGGTTAATTGATGTTCTGCTGCCACAAGGTGGGTTTTGGATTAAAAATCCTCGTTAGCTGTCCAGTAAGATGTTATTGATCAGCACCAATTTGCAGATGAAATGTGACTATTTTTGTGCATATTATTTTATAACAAACTGTTGTATTATAGATTAGTGAGAAAGAAAATATACGAGGAAACTTTTTTTAAAGACAGAAATATGTAGAAAAAACATTTTCTGATTTAGCGATGTGTTCGTAACCAGCAGCTATTCTAGGAAGCACAATCATTTCCTAATACCAATTTGTGAAGCTTCGTTTACTAAATTAGCAAACTTGTTCTACAGTCTTATTAACTGTATATTTCTTGCACAAAATATATTTCCGGTTTTTCACAGATAAACAGATTGACTTAAAAACATGTAACAGCATGTTACATTGATGTGGAGATTTTATAGTGGTGCTAAGATTCTGAATTATTTCCATACTCTGGCTTCATTACCATGCTGTCAGGGAGTTATTTGCACTTTTGGAACAGCTGTTGATTGACAGGGACAAGAAATCTGGTGATTCAATGCGGAACTGAACCAAATGTAAATTAGTTAGATGAGATGGGAGAGGAGGTAGCCCAAGAGATGAGCCAAAGATGAACAGACAACTGGAGTATCTGGCTGTACAAAAATTGTTCAGTTGTTTTGAAGGGTCTGTAGCTGTTCCTTTAGTGTTGGCATGATAATGTATTCCATGCCAAGTACATGTGCCACCCATTGATCCTTCAAAATTCCCTTGACCCTCATTCAAGGCCTCATCAAAATGGTGGTCACCCAGACCTTGGCAGAAACAAGGTTGTAAGCACTGTGCAAAATTTTCAAAGAGTTACCTCTCCACCCATTCCTGTCTGATGTGGCATGGGGAAATTAATAATGATCATTCATTTCGATTTAATGTTTTGTCAAGCTGGTTATGGCTCAGAAATTTTATTTAGCGGTGTTTAATTTTAAAATAATGTTTTCATTATGTGCAAAGAGGAACTGTAGACAGAGGCATTACAAACTGTGTGGTTTATCAGCAGAAAGGTGAAAGAAAGCCTTGTATACAAACATGTAAGCAGTTTATGATGAAAATTGTGTTTACTAGGTTTTCTTTTGTCATCAACCAGGAAATTGATAGAAATGTGGAATTGCATACAGGCTGTTGATGTAATATTGATTGGATAGTAAACTTTTGTTTTGTTACTTATTCATTGGCAGATTACAATAGAATTTGCTTTTTTGTAATTTTTTTTGTAATATGTTTTACCCAGTAGTTTAGTATAGATTTTTCTTGATTGGATGGGTTTTCTTGTGCATTTTTGTGATTAAAGAAAGCTATAAACTGATGTTGCGTCAAAACCAATTTTGTTTCGCTTTGCTTTGAAGTATTAGAAAGAATCAACCACAGATGGCAACAGTAGTTTGATAAGTGATTCTCGAAGCTGTAAAAGCAGTTGCAGAGAAATAACCGGTGGCATGGATCGGTTTGTAACTCATGAACTATACAGTTCTAGGCACATAACTTAAAAGAGGAGAAAAAGGATGAGTTGTGTTGGCACCATCGTCTTATTTTTGATGTGACATTTAATGGGCATTGGCGAAAACACTGTCCTGAAGTTCTTTAAGACATGCTAAATTATGAAAATCAAATCTTCGTAAAAGAGTCATTTTGAGATCAGGGAAACATGTTAGCTTACGAATTGGATGACCCACAGCACATCTGCTGCTTTTGTTTAATGAAGAATGGCAGCAATACAATAGTAAATGAATATTTACCAGCTGAGGCAAATCAGGCACCAAGTGGACCGTGATTGTCAATGACTTGCAGTTTTGATGACATGCAGTTAGGTTAGTAAGTGTTAAACCTTACCATCTGAATAATAGATGGTAGTTGTCCCTTCAAGAACCACTGGTTTAGCTGATGTACATCTGAGAAAACTGATCTCCGTATGCACTGCAAATGCCGTAGCCAGTAAACAAAGTTTTCGAAGGTGGTGTTTGACTCTTGATCTGTACCAGAATTGGGCTCAATGACAATTTCAGGTGAATAACTGTAGTGTCCGAACTAATGCGACATGCAGTGCAATTGTGGTGCAGACTGACAATATGAACACCTTAGGCCATTTCCGTTTCTCACTGCACAATGTTCAGATGTTTAAATAAGTCCCATTGTCAATCAGCATTAAGTAGTCTTGCTGTTGTTTTATACCAGCTGTGTCCTTACTTCTACTTTCTTCATTGAAATATTGAAAATATTGCCATTGATATATTTATTTGCAGCAAGCATAAGTTTTGTGGTGACCAGTCCCAGCAGTGATTACAAAGTGCTTTTTCATTTTGATTTGCTTGTATATGTTCACCTTTACAGCTGAGATTTCTGCTATTTGTCAGAAGAAGGTAAGACCAGTTTGTAATCTAGTGGAAAGTTTCCAGTGGTTGTGCTTTTCATCTTGTGGTTTATTGATGCACTTCTGCCAGGTCATCCCATCGTGCAGTAGTTTATGTTTGATCATCAGGCTGCATACTGTACTTGTGCTGCAACACGCTTTCGTGAATTTGTCAGTGTTTCAGGCAATTAAATTTGAAACCTCAAACCCTATTGTTTAGAAAAGAGACTCAATATTTATCAGTTAAAGGAGTACAAGAGAACATAGGGCTGAATTTTATTGCAAATTCAGTCCAAAGCTGCCAGTGTTCCAAGACACTAACCTACTATTTTATAAAGCAAAAAGCAAGTTATATTTCATGCAGGTGTATCAGTATTATCAGTTAATCAATATTAATAGCTCTGATTAAATGTATTTGACACAACTGTGCAGAATTTTAAAGAATCGATATGGCAGAAAGAGCTCATGCAGTACTTCACAAAATCATGTGTATTTCTTCCTCAAAAATGGAATGTAGAGGTGTAAGATTTAAAAATAAAGTTATGACATCCCAAGGTAACAAAACTATTAGAGCTCGTTCAAATTAAGTCCTCATCAAAATTTGTTTTTTAGTTGCAAATATTTCTCTCCTCCATAATTTATCTTGAGAATGGTTGATATCTCACTTAAAGAGTACTGTGATACAAAAGAGAAGGCATGGTAATTCATGATCCCATTGTCCTATTTCCACAATTTTTTTTCTTTTTAACTTACCTTCTTATTGCTGTCCCTAGATTCTGTTGTACTGTCATGCTTCCTTTCACTTCTCCATTCTCAGGTACTCGGTGCCTTCCCAATTCCCTCTATTATATTATTCCTTGACTTCCTGCTCTTTTGTTGCTGCAAGCTCAGTTCTCCATTGGTTAAGCCTAGAGCTTTCTTCTCTGCCTGACTTAGCATTCTCCAATGAGGTTTGAAGTACTTGGCATTGGCTCATTACGAGCAAAAACACAAATTGCTCCATACTTTCTTGACAGTCAGCCCAGAAGGGGGTCATCGTGTCAATTTTCATCCTGTTCAACTTGCCTTTCACAATGCTGACCTTGTGGATTCAGCCAGCAGATCATCTTCTCTTACCAGCCCTCTACAAATTACCATCCAGAAAGTGCGGTGACTTGTAACAAGGCCTTTGTCATTAATGAGCTTATTATGGTGATTGTACTGACACCATGACCTTGGCAGAAACCAGCTTGTAGGGTGATGACATCTACCCCACCTGGCTACATCTTTCATCTTTTACCTTGTCGCAGCGGTACTGTAGAGGTGGTCATCAGATCTCGGGTCACAACTTTGGCCTGATTTCCTCCAGCTACTCTATCACTTTCTTATCCTTTGCATGTCTCACTTTATTCAACACATTTCACATCTCTTTAAATTCCTTATTCTTTGTTGTACTCCCAAGTGTGATTAAAATATTTCCATACTGCTTTCCTCCCCAGCTTTTGCACTAAATAATTTCTCATCCTAGGTGATTTTTTTCATGTTAATTCCACTGTGACTATCCCACCTGCTTATGTTTTTAAAGTTCTCTCCATGTAATCTCCCTAAACCACATTCATGGCCATAGGTTAGGCGTTGTCATTTCATATAGTCTTGATAGTACCACTTTATCAATTCCAATAAGGCATCTCTCAAATCATTCAGTACCTGCATCCCCATTCCACACTTTAATCCTATCTCCTTCTGAAGCTGTCCCTGGAAAAATAAACTGATATTCTAATTCACTGCATTTTCAAATGTCTGGTCTCTGGTGCTCCGTTCACCACAACATTTCTATAACTACTGATTTGCATACTTACCTTCCTTTGATGTCATCGCTCCAGTTAAAGCTATTACTCTTACTCACCCTTGCTGTTCCCCTGGTGCAGCCCTCATCTCTACTCCCTTAAGTTCACAGGGTACAGAATGTGCCAAACAATAGATTTAGCCATTAACTGCCAGATTTGGCTAGACCACAATTGGGTCCTGCTGTCATCTGCTAGAAGTGCTCAATGTTCCAGGATTATCCTGGAATGCAAAGGTAACCGCTGCTTTTCATTTACTGTATATTGTTTTTTTAAAATTCCTCTCCTCTGACTCCCCCCACCTTCACCTCAGCAATACATATCAGCTGCTCACCAAGATCAAGGCAATCCGATCAGCTGACTTTGCTGCATCTCTCCTTTCCATCAGCATACTGGGCCAAAGATCCTGTAATGCACACAATGCTCCAGGCCTGCACTTACTCTTTCTACAGTTTCTCTCCTCTCATGCCAATTCCAAGCTCTCATTTTTCCATGAATCTCCCTCAATCCATACCCATTTAACTCACATTTAACCTTAAGGCCTACCCTCCTGATTCTGATATTGTAAATGGTTCTGTTTCTTCAGGCGTTGTACCTCTATTCTTTAAGTGTATTGTCATCATGCTATTCGTCAAAAAATAACTCTTGACCTCGCCATTCTTCAAAATTACCATTCAGTCTCCAAAGCCATGTACCTGCCTCCCAAATCCATTTCCATCTTGACTGGAACTCCATGTTTGAATTAAATCAGATGTCCTTCCCTGCCACAGCACTGAAACAGCTCTCATCAAAAACACAAGTTATAGCCTATGTTAGTGTGACAAAAGTAAGCTTTCCCTTTTAGTCTGTCTGCAACCTTTGGCACAGTTGATCACACCAATCTCCTCAAGTGATTCACCAGTTTTGATTAATTTTTATTCAACCCATTTTCCTAATCAACTCATTCAGAGATGTTATTACACATCTCTGGAACAGGTGGGACTTGAAGCCAGGCTTCCCAGTCTAGGGGTAAGGACACTACCACTGCACCACAAGTGGTCCCAATTCTTCACTTTTGTCTGGCCAAATGGGACTGCTTTCACCTGGTTCCATTCTTAATTGCCTACTCATTGCCAGAGAATCACTTGCAACGGTATCTCTTCCTGCTCATGCATCCCTGATGGACTGTCCTTGGCCCACTACATGTTGTTCCTCAGCAATATCGTTCGATAGCTCAGCATTAATTTTTACATGTACACTGACAAAACACAGCATTACTTCACCAGCACCTCCCTCAGCTCCTCAACTGTTGCTAGGTTATCGGACTGCTTGTCTGACGCCCAGTGCTGGATGGACTCAAATTTCCTCTGATTAAACACAGGGAAGTTTGAAGCCACCTGTTTTGGCCACCATCTCCAAATCTGTTTCCTAGCTACTGACATTAGCCTTCTTCTTGGCAACAGTCTGACATTACGCCAGTCTTTCTGACATTACGCCAGTCTTTCTGTAGTCTTGTTGTTACAATTGATTCCAAGATGAACTTCTGATCGCACATTGATGTTATAACTAGTACCATTTATTTCCACCTCTGCAACATTGCTTGACTTCACCCCTGTCTCAGCTTATCTGTTACTGAAATCCTCATTTGTGCCTTTTTTAACCTTTGTACTGGACTATTCCAGTGCACTGACTGGTATCCCACATAGTACATTCTTTAAAGTTGAGGTCAACCAGCGATCTATTGCTTGTGTCTTGGCCCCCACAAAGTCCTATTCCCCAAAGACCCTGTTGCTAAATGATCTATACTTGGTCCTGATAAAGCAACATCTTGATATTAAATTCTCAGTCATATTTACCAATTGAACGGTGGGTTTATCAGAGGCCACTTGATTCGTGGCTTCCCTGCTTTCTACTCCTCTAGCCTCCTCTAATTCTGTTCTTCTAAACATCACTGATTTTAATTACTCCACCATTGATTGGTGCACCTTCAGTTGTCTAGGCCCTGGGACACCCGGCACCTCTCTGCTTCTGTACCTCTCTTCCTTTAAAACCTTGCTTAAAACCTACCTTTGACCATACTTTTTGTCATCATTCATGCTCTTCAAGTACCAGGTAATGACCATCCCTAATAAGAGAAAATCTAACCAGCGTCCCCTAACTTTCGATGGGTTTAACGTTGCAGAATCTCCCACTGTCAACATCCTGGGGGTTACCATTGACCAAAAACTGAATTGGTCCATCCATATGCATACTATAGCTACAAGAGTGGGTCAGATGCCAGGAATTCTGTGATGAGTAACTTACCTCTTGTTTCCCCTATGCTTGAGCACCATTTGCAGGACATGAGTCCGGCGTGATGGAATACTCCCCACTTGCCTGAGTGAGCGCAGCTCCACCAGCACAAACAAAGTTTGACACCATCCAGGACAGTGCAACCCTTTTCTTTGGTACCCCATTCATCAGTAATGAATAGTGGCAGCAGCGTGTACCATCTACAAGATGCACTGCAACAACTCACCAGTGTTCCAGCAACAGCACCTTCCAAACCCAAGAACTTTTAGCACCTGGAAAGGAAGGGGCAGCAGATGCATAAGAACACCACCAGCAGTAACTACTGCTCCAATCACACACCATTTTGACTTAGAACCATATTGTCATTCCTTCACTTTCAGAGGGGCAATATCTTGGAACTTCCTTCCTAATAACATTGTAGGTGTTCCTGCATGCCACAAACTGTAGTAGTTGAAGAAGGCAGCTCACCACCACCCTTTATAAGGGGCAGTTATGTATAGACAGTAAATGCTGGCCTAGCTGGTGATTCTTTTGAATGAATAAACAAAATAAAACTAATTTTTCCTTACATCATTCATAGTTTATAGTTTGTTTTATAATATTTTGGTAAAATATCTTTGGTGTTGTATTACAGTGAAAGAATCTTCAATGAAAATAAGTCTTTGTTGTTCTTCTTAACTCCCCTTGTAAATAGTGACAAATGAGAGTTGGGCAGAATAGATTTTTTGTTTATCCTGCAGGAAAAAATGTTTTTTTACCCAATTTGCAATGCTAATATAATTCAGCCCTTGGCTTTAGAATTAAATGCAACTCAAATAATGCAATAATTGTCTGATATTTAAACATAGCTGTCCTGTATAATGCTTGAAGCATTGAAACTCTTGACTGCAACCATGGTCACATGTTTCTAATAAAAACATCAGTGTACTTACACTGTGGCTGGTTGTACAAGCATTAAGCCTTTGATGTGCATTTTTCATTGAGTTGAAGTGTCAAATTTGTGTTTTTCATATGCTTCTTGTTGATGTTTCTGTATTTTGCTTTCAGTATCCACCATGCAGTTTGTCTTGCAGAATGAAAATTACTTAGTTATGCCCAGCTTGTAAAAAATATAGTAACCATTGACTTGAATAGAGAATAAATGCACATTATGTTGAATAGAATTATTTTCTACCACATCACCATTATGGTACACCCTTTTTTGAAACAATAACTTATTCATTGAAATTGTGTGAAATTGAGCAGTGACAATCCATTTGCGAAGTTAATTACATTTGGTAAAATGATAACAAAATATCATTTGTGACAAAGAAGAAGGAATCAAGGAAAATTCCCTGCTCTACAAAAATGTGTTTTCAGTTTTCATAGATGCTGCAAATGCAATATAATGACTATTTGATTTTAGACTAATCATTCTCCAACTATAAAAAGCTTTCTATTGCTGTTTGTTGTCAACTTGTTAAATACATTTAAGTGTAAATTACAATCCTTTCTTTGAAAAGTAAAGAGTTCATTGGCATTTTTGCAAACAAGCTTTTGAAATATGGTATTGAAGTAAATACTCAAGATAAACAAAATTAATTAATCTTTTGCTGTGAGTGCATAATTTTAAATTCAAGTTAGAACATTCTCATTAACTTGAATGTTAAATCTAGTTTTCTCATGTAGCATTGTTGTGATAATATCTAAGAAAGAACCAAATAAGGCTTTTTAAACTGAGATATTTGTGATTAATAGCCACAATGTCAGAATTTGTCTCAGTTGCTGCTTTGTGTTATTCAACATCAAAAAGATGAATTTAGTGCAGTTGTATCTTTAAGACAAAGGAATTTAATACTGATGAGATATGTTTGTCTATCCCAGAATTTTTCTCCAAAGAATTCTCCTGAATGTTTTTGGTATTTGTATATCCATTGTATTAGGATACTGAATAGCCACAAATCAGATGTTATAATCTTGTCTATCAATACATATCTTGATACGATATGAAGATTTCTGTTCTCTTTTGCAGTCAAGTTTCTTGTGTTTATAACACCTCTAAATCACTTTAAAATGTTGAAATGAAGATCAACAAATTATTTGAATAAATAATCATATAATAGTGGTTATTGATTCTTTTGTTAAATTTTTAATATGTGCTATTGCTATTTTCAAAATCATTTTATTGCATTTTCTTTTGCATAAATTATCATGACTGATGCAAAAAACAAGGAAATATTCCATTATATGTATTGATGTTGCTATTTGTTTTCCTGTGATGCATAATTTATTAACCAACTTTTCCACACATCCACAAACTGCTGATTTCCAGTTTTCCATTGTGTTTTGCTTCTAAGTTAGTGTGAGTGATGGAGTCAGCTTTGTTTCCAGCTTGCAAGCTTAATTGTCTTCACCATGAGAAAGAGAGATCCTAGAATTAGAACCAACCTATAGCCTTCATTGCTCATTCCCTCAACTAAAGTTGAATCAGTAGACAATTCAAGTCTTGGTGAGGTTAAATTTAAAAACACTAGTAAAACTTAAATTCCAAAAAGGGGTGCAAGTGTACTTTCAAAGGGCAGCTATAAATCTAGAAAATCCATTGTTTGCTGGGACTGTTATCTTGCAGTGCTCCCTACAACCAACATAGAGTCATAGAGATGTACAGCATGGGAAACAGACCCTTTGGTCCAACTCATCCATGCTGACCAGATATCCAAAATAATCTTGCCGAATTTGGCACGTTTCCTATTCATATACCTATCCAGATGCCTTTTAAATGGTGTAATTGTACCAGCATTCACCACTTCCTCTGGCAGCTCATTCTGTACACACACCACCCTCTGCGTGAAGAAGTTGCCCCTTAGGTCCCTTTTCAATCTTACCCCTCTCACCTTAAACTGAAGCCCTCTAGTTTTTGACTCACCCACCCAGGGGAGAAGACCTTGTCTATTTACCCTATTTGAGGCCCTCATGATTTTATGAACCTCTAAAAGGTCACCTCTCAGCCTCCAACACTCCAGGGAAGATAGCCCCAGCCTGCTCAGCCTCTCCCTATAGCTCAAACCCTCTAACCCTAGCAACATCCTTTGTAAATCTTTTCTGAACTCTTTCAAGTTTCCCAACATCTTTCTTATAGCAGGGAGACCAGAATTGCACTCAGTATTCTGAAAGTGGTTTAACCAATGTCCTGCACAACTGCAACATGACCTCCCATCTCCTATACTCAATGCACTGACCAATGAAGGTAAGCATACTAAACGTTGCCTTCACTATCAGTGGTGTCAATTTGTTGAAAAAGACCTTCTCCTCATGACAGACAGTGCAACCAACCAAATTGTTGTGTCACCTTAAAACAGTGCTATCATGGAAATGAGCAATAGGAGTTGCCTGCGAATGGAACTATATGAATTCCCCTTCTGGTTTCCGTTCCTCCCCATCAGGAAATATTGAGAAATACCATTACTGTAAAAAAACTCATTGTAGGAAAAATTGAAGCAATAAAAAATTGTGCCTTTTTTATATGACACATTGATAAACCAATACACGATTGTGCTAGAATATTTGTTTGTTTTCATCAACAGAGCATTGTCTTACTAAGTTTGTTTTGTGCTGACTTCTTGTTTTCCATTTATAGATGATGGTGGGGGAGGTTAGGATAGAAGGACAGTAAATTTCCTTTGATCATTTGTAATAACTGTTTTGTACTGTTTGTACTGTTTTTTTCTACTTGGTGCGAATGACATTAAGGAACTGTTTACTCCCTTTGGTGATAATCTATTTCTTTACATACTGCTTTACATTACTCAGATCATTTGATTCATTTTACTTCAGATGCATGATCAACAACTAACTTCAACTTTTAAGTAAATGTTACTGAAGTCATTTGATATTGTTAAGTGAGGAACAATGACCAGAGAATGTAGGTGTCACAATACAAATGTGAATGGGTCAGCAGTGCTGTGATCCTATGTCCAGTATCTTCTGTAACTTACTAAATGTATCAGCTGTTTTCTGCAGTTTAATTTCACAGTGGGGGAAAAATAAATCAGCCATATTTTTGATTTTAGTGTTAAAAGGGAGAACAACGATTTTGCTTAGACAAACAAAAATGCATTGGTTGGATATTTGCATCAACTGATCAGTATCCGCCACAGGATGTTTACTGCATGGAAAATGAACACTTTTGGCAGCTGCTCCTATGAATTCTTTCCTCAAGCAAACATACATGATTCAATGTATTTAATGATCCCTTGGAGATGAGATGGAATAATGAAATTAGAACAGAATGTGGCAATATCTGGAACTGCCTATTGGTGACATTGTAAACCAGCTGATCAAATTTATGATTTAATTATTACACTCCAAATCTGTGCCGTTCATGGAGTTACTTGCATTTGGTACCTCATGGTCTCCTGATTATCTCCCTTTTAGATCTAAAAAGATGCTAAACAGGACTGTTCTGAATGGAATTGTTGATTTGAGTGGTTTGAAAGTTAATTTGAGTTTGGTTAAATGGAGAGAGAACTTTCACTTGCCTTTAAATATCCTGACATTTTTAGTTTACCTTAACAGGATGAAGAGAGAAGGTAACTTGATCTTGAAAATATGTTTACATGTGTTTTTAGGATTTAGTCTTTCAGTTGTGTTTTTTAAATTAAACCTCACCAAGACTTCAGTTTTCTATTGATTTCAATTTTATTGTTGAGAGAATGTGCTGAGAAGATGCATTAATTGAGAGGATAGTTCTAAATCTAGGATCCCTTTTCCTTTTGATGAAGAAAATTAGAAGAAATTGGAAGCTGGAAACAAATTTGACTTATCACACACACTAACTTAGAAGCAAAACACAATGGAATACTGGAAATCTGAAAAAAAAATGGAAAATGCTAGAAACATGCCGCACATCCGTCAGTCTGTGCAGAGAAAAACGGAGCTAAGATTTCAGATTTATTTAACTTTCAGCAAAACTGTAGGATGCAATTCTGAAATGTTGACTGATTTTCTCTATTTTACTGGTTTTGCTATTTTTATTGCATATACCTACTTGGCTAGACTGCTGCTCAGATTGTTATCTGGCCAGATGACAAACTGGGTTGTCTGGTAACTTTTAAAGTATAACTAACGTCAAATGGCATTTAAAAAAATTTCAAGCAGATATTAATTTTAAGGACCTTTTGATGTTTCATCAACAAGAAAGAAAACATCAGAACTCATCCAAAATAGTTGATCTGCATCATAGTGTTGTTTGGAAGTTTAGCACTTTGAAAGCCTAAAGAATACTTTCTAGTAATAAAAAATTGAACTTGTGACTCTTAATTAACATGAAGGTTTTGTTCCTCATAAGAATTGTAGCTCGCATGTTAGGAGAGCCATTGTTACCTGCTTCTCAGCAGGATGCTGTGGTCGTCATGGAAACAGGCCAGTGCGCTATTGCAAAAGGTGTCATTACAATCACCACAGCAGTGAGATTGGTGCTGCTGCAGAGACTCACCTTTACCAGACTTCACCCCCTCCGATGAACACCAGAGAGTGTGGTGCAGAGGAGCTGGTCTGTACTGTGGAATCTGTGGTCAGGTAATTAATAATAATCCTTAAAAATCAATCTTCCCAATGAAATACTGAAATACGTATTCTGCCACATATGATTAAATCATAGCAATATTTTACTAATAGGCTTAGAAAAAAATGCATGCTTTATAATTAATCAGTTAAAAAATTTACAGTTTTGCTGTTCAATCTCAAACTTTTGGTTTGTTTTTGTCCTCAGCTGATTTAGGCTCTAAGATCTTCAATACTCTCCCTAAATTTCTCCCCCATAACCCCCTTTAAGATTCTCATTAAAACTTACTTTTTTGTTAAGCATTTGGTCACTTATTTGAGTATCTCATGTGGCTCGATGTCAATATTTTCTTAATAATACTCCTGAGAATAATTTGCTCTGTTAAAATGATATATAAGTGAAAATTATTACTTGCACGAGTTTAAAAAATTTTGGTTTCTGCATTTGTAATCCCTCTGATGCAAAATATAATGTCTACACCTCAAATAGCATTTAATGTATTTACCCTAGAATTACTTCAGATTATTAAGAACTCCAAGGAATCCATGAAGCTATTTAATTCAGTCCCGAAGCTTTTGCTTGTTGTAGTTGTTTAATCTTTAACTTTGTTTAACTTTCTTTGTTGCTGCCCACCAATTTTGATGTAAAGAGCTGAGAAAGTGAACAGCTCTTGAAAATCCCACATTGTCTCCCAGGCAATCATAGTTTTTATTTACATTTTGGTGAAATCCTTATCTTGTAGTGACATATAATTTTAGTGCTTTACATTTTGCCAGCCTCTATTAGAAAATGCTAAATGCCTTCATTGTGTCATTTGATTGTCTGGTCAGGATAAGAAATGTATTTCTAGATTCATACAGCACAGAAACAGACCCCTTGGTCCAATTAGTTCATGCAGACCGTAATCCTAAACTAAACTAGTCCCACCTGCCTGTGTTTGGCTCATGTCCCTCCAAGCCTTTCTTATTCACGTATTTATCCAAATGTCTTTTAAACATTGTAACTGTACCTGCATCCTTCACTCCCTCTGGAAGTTCATTCTACATACGAACCACTGTCTCTGTGTGAAGAAAGCAGCCCTCGTGCCATTTTTAAAATCTTTCTCCTCTCACCTTAAAAATTTGCCCCCTAGTCTTGAAATCCCTCATAAGGAAAAAAAACACCCGCCATTTACCTTATCTATACGCATCATGATTTTATAAACCTCAATACGGTCACCCCTCAACCTCCCAAGCTCATTGAAGAAAGTCCCAGCCTATCCAGCCTCACCCTATGCCTCAAACCTTCCATTCCCAGCAACGTCCTGTTAAATCTTTTCTGAACCCTCTCCAGTTTAATAATATCCTTCCTATAACAAGGCAACCAGAACTGCTCACGTACTCCAGAAGAGGCCTCAACAACATTCTGAACAACCTCATGACGTCCCAACTCCTATACTCAAAAGTCTGAGCAATGAAGGCAAGCGTGCTTATGTGCCTTTCTGTAAGAAATACAAGAAATAAATGAGATAACCTTCCCTTGAGCTGGGAAAGTGGCCTTTGGACTCCTTCATTACGCATCTGTTACTGACATAAAGTTTGTTTGTACAACTAAGTGATAGTTAGGATCAAAATAAAGTTGTTGGTAGGACCTTCTGTTGGTGTAGGTGCTCTTTCTGATTGTATTGTAACAAAATGAAAATTATGTTAGCAATTGCATCTTTGCTTGTTTTACTGTAGTTTGCTAAAGGAAGCTGAATATCATGCAGAGCAGCGGGAGTTTGAATTAAATCGAAGAAGACAAATGGGCCTGTCCTTATCCCAACCTTCTTTAGACAATATGGAGTATGATAACAAGGATGATGATAAAAATGATCAGCGGCTATTAAGCCAGTTTGGAATATGGGTTCTGGTACGTAACTAACATGATGATTTTCGCGTAACACTTCTACGGATATATAAGTGCCAAATTAGTACGTGGAGGATGATGAATGCCTGCAAGCAAATAGAAAGATGATGATGGCCTGAATCTTCTGATATGGGGACTGGTGACCAACTGAACTTCAGTCGCTAATATTTATTGAGATACTGCAAAAGTCAGGGTTTGTGAAGATGGGGATTGAGCATTGGTAGGGGTGAGGTGTTAAGCGAGCATTGTTAGGTAGGGTTGAACATGTTCAGGAGGGGTGAACATGTTCAGGAGGGGTGAACATGCTGGGTGGGGGTGAATATTGTCGGATTGAGCGTTGTCAGAGATAAATATTATTTGAGGGTTCAAATGCAGAAAGTTTACACTTCCGATTACTAGTTTTACTTTGCCCAGATTGCTGCATGACTCTCTATGAAAGTGGGATTGGCTAGCCAGTGCCACTGAGATTTTACCCTATGCCTACCCTGACCTGAGTTCATTGAATGCATTCTGGTCATATTCTGTGAGCAGCTTATCCTAGACCCGACCAAACAACAGGCTATTCTACACCAGGTGATATGTAATGACAGGATTAATGAATGGACTTCTCCTAAAATAGCCTAAAAGAAGCAAAGATCATAGCATGATTGAATTTTATCTAGATGAGGGTGAGAAGTGTGAATCTAAAACTAATATTTTAAACTTAAATAAAGACAGTTTCAAAGACATAAAGACAATGCTGGTAAAGAGAATTGCGAAGTTAAAGAATAGAATAGTTGAGGTACGAATACTTAAGGAGATACTTCATAGCTCTCAGCAAGGATACGTTCCAGTATGGGAGATAGTTTGTGTGCAAATTACGCACTGTAGTTGAGGATAGCATCAAACTTCAAGAAGAAACATTGCATAATTCTGTGAAGATTAGTAGCAGGAAAAGATTGCATAGAATTAAAAAATATCAAGAATGATTTGCCAGGAAAGGAGTGAGAAATTAGAGAAGAGGCAGAATTTCCCCTCCTTGATGTGACATGAACATTGTCGAGAAAGGTGAAAAATACAGGAAGAATGAAAAAAATTATGATATTGAAAGAAAAAATTTGTGATTTTTCTCCTTGAGCCTTCAATGCCATTTTCAAGATCTTGCCATTGAGTTCCTTTTTTCCATACATTTGCATCTCATTAAAATCCCACCTCACTTTAGTTACACACCACTTCCAATTCTCCTCTAGATGGCACAAATATCTCAGATGTAAATCAGAGCAGGTATCTGGCAGCAGCAGCTTGCTGGATGCTTGTTCTGGCCTTCATCCAGTGGATCTTCATAACTTGATTCCTGCATGTTTCAATGCCAACAGTCTCCTCAACTCTTCATCCACATGAGTTGGCTTTGGCCAATCACCTCATTACATCGTAATGCCTGCTCTTGGACCAACACACACACCTCTTCACCGCTTCAACGCTTGAGGGACACCTCCAATTTGCATGCTTTTACTAGATCACTTTGCACACAAGAATACACATGCATCTCATTCATCTACACAGTATGCATCTCATGGCCTCAGTACACACTCACTGAGTTCAGGTCTGACCTCCGAATTGCCAGCCCTTGAATGTGTCACATTGCTTTCTTAGCACACTTTTTTTGTACTCAGTTATCGGCTGCCAGCCACTGTTGCTTACATTGCTTTTTAGGGGAGAGGCAGTAGCTTGTGATAGTGGTGAACACTGAACAGTCAAGTTGGGTGTGGACGTATCATTGTATTGCATCCTGCTACATCAACATCACACCTGCAGCATTTGCCAGCAATTTCCAAATAAACATGTGTCTCAAACAAATGGCCATGTGTGAATGTTAAAAGGCAACAGTACTCAGTGACATGAGGTGGGGGGGCCCACATTTTGTCAGGGTGTGCTCCCACAGTCAATCAAAGGGCTTGTTCTGTTCCAGTCCAACAGGTTGACCTTGGTCAGTCAGGCTTATGACCTTATCAGAATCTGAGGATTCAAGTTCTTGCAGACCAGGAATTGGGCCATGGTTAGTTTTGTAGCTTGAATGTAATCAGTCTTGAAGCACAGTTGCCTCAGTCAGGGTGCTGTGGAGACCAGAGGAGGGGCCATGGGAGTAGGTGAGACAAAGGAAGGGATTGAGTATGATGGTAAAGTAGCTAGTGATGATGCATGAGTAGGAGAGATGTGAGGTGTTCCTAGTGGGTGAGTAGAAAACGCAGAGGTCAAGAAGGATTGGTGGAAGTGAGCTGTTGAAGCATGCGATAGTAGGAGCTGAAGTCCATTAGTTGAGAGCCATGCGTGGTGGTAGAGTTAGAGTAGTGATGGCCCTGTGTGTGTGAGAGAGCAGAGAGAAGATAATAAGATCTGTTGTGGGGTGTAGAAAATAATTGGCCTTTCTCCTGCGCAGGTAGGTGTTCTTTTTTATCCAGGATACAGCATTGCCCAGAGTTGTAATTTGGGCCCAGACTAGCTTAGTTTGGTGGTGTGGTCTCCTGTGGTATCTGTAGGGAAAAGGACTGCCTTACTCTCCCTCATTCTGTCGTCCAGCTCTCTGTCTGCAAATTAGGGAGTGAGATTTCCTTTCCTCTGGGCCATCTCCATGGTAATAATGGTTGAGTATCACAGTGTGAGGCACTCTTTCTGACTTGGAACATCTGGATCTGTTGTGCAACTGCAGCATGAGTAGCGTGATTACCAGAAGGTGCCAGCAACACTGCCATCTCCCCAGCCATGCAAATTCCTGAGAAAGGTGCCCAAGTTGCATAATTAATAAGGTGATAAATGGAAAGTTGCCAGACAAATGTTGTTCTGAGCCATTTTAGATCAGGTAACATATCGCTTTACAAAATATTGATCTGAAAATGGGAATGTTCTGCCTAATGAGAGAAAGCAAACTAGTTATATAAAAAAAAGACAGTAAGAATTTCTACAAACATTTCAGAAAAAGTCAAGTAAAATAAATATTGGTCCTCTAGAGTGAGAGTCCGGGGAATTAATCACAGAAAATAAAATGTGTTGAACGGATACTTAATGTTTGACTTCATTGTTCAAGACACAAACAGCATCCGAGAAATACCTACAAATCAAAAACTGAAAGGGATGGACAAAATTAAAACAATTAATCACCAGGGAAAGGATACTGGAAAAGGCTGAACTGATGGTCTGCACCTTAGGATCTTAAATACCTAGCTGCTGATTTAGTAGATTTGTTGATTGTAATGTTCCAAAATTCTATGGATTCTCGAAATGTCCTGTCAGATTAGAAAATAGTGATTATAAGTTCTGTTCAGTAACAGGTGGAGACTGAAAGCAAAATACTACAAACCATTTAGCCTAACATCTGTAAGAAGGAAAATGCTGAAATCTATTAAGGAGGTTATAGAAGGGCACATAAGAAGTCCTAATGTAATCAAACAGAGCAACATGGTTTTATGGAAGGGAAATTGTGTTTGACTGGTAGTTAGTGTTCTTTGAGGAAGTAACAACCAATGTAGATGGAGCGAACCTGTTGATGTGGAGCATTTGGAGTTCCAAAGAACATTTGATAAGGTGTCATATCAAGGTTGCCACACAAAAGAAACATTGGTGGTGGAGGGGGTAACATACTAGCATCAATGGAGGATTGGTTAGCCAACGGAAAACAGTAGGGATAAAAGGGTCATTTTGAGATTACAAGCTGTAACCAGTGGAGTATCACTTCTCGGGGCGTCAAGTATTTACAATCTATATCAATGAATTGGGGGAAGAGATGGAGGGAATGATTGCTAAAGTTGCTGATGACACAAAGATAAGTATAAGAATATGTTGTGAAGAGGACATATAAGGCCTGCAAAGGGATATATATATGATGAGTGGGCAAAAAATTGGCAGATGTATTTTACTGTGGGAAAGTGTCAATTTTCCAAGAAGATTCGAAAAATAGCCTATTACTTAAATGGAGAGAAATTACAGAAGTCCATGGTACAGATCTAGGTGTCCTGCTGCATGACCCATAAGATATTTGTATGCAGATACAGTAAGTCACTAGAAAGGCAAATGGAATGTATATTTCTTGCAAGAGGAGTGGAAAATAAAAGCTTTCTATTGCTGTTTTGCAGGGTATTTTTGAGACTATATCTGGAGTACTGTGTGCCATTTTGGACTCCCTACTTTATAATGAATATCTGGTACAAAAGTGTTATCATCTGAAAAAAAGGTTGGATAGATTGGGATTATACACATTGCAGTTTAGAAGAGTGTAAGGTGGTTTTATTGAAGCATCTTGAGGTGACTTGACAGAGTGGCTGCTGAGAGAATGTTTTCCCTTTTCAGAAGATACCAGAAGTAGGGACACATTTTAAAAATAAAGGGCCTTTCATTTAAGTTGGAGATGATAAATTGTTTTCTTTCAGAAAATTGAGAGTGTTCAGAATTTGCTCCCCCAGAGAGTAGTAGAGGCAGTGTCATTGAGGGGTTGAATCCTGTCAGATGGGGAGTTTGTGAACTGTTAGAGTGACAGCTCTATTTAAAAACGTTAGTCAGTGAACTGAAGATGGTCCCTAAGGGCTTTGCAGGAGTTATACTCAACACGTGGACCCGCAACTCTATTCTATGGTGATTCCCTTTCGAAGCCAAGATAGAGACTTGCATAAAGTCATCTGTCAGCAGTAACAGCCATAATGACTGTATTGCTGACTGAAAGATCTGGACTTCTGTTGTACAGAAATTTAGATAATTCCATTACTTTTATGTGATGTAATGACCATAATCCCAAGATTATTATCCTATTTTGAATGACTGTCACTTACTGCGGTGTAATTGATATTTCAATGGTATAGTCAGACATGTGTATCAATGGCAACAAAATTACAAAAGGCAAATATTATTTTCCTGCCACTGTACAACTGATTTGTTAGAGAATTATGAATGAACTAATTTAATCAACATTCAGAATTAGTGAACAGAGGCTTCTGAATACATTTAAGAATGCAGATAAAGAACTTTGTTTTCTCTCCTCTGAGCAGTTTAGGTATATCAGGTAGCTTTGTCCCTCCTCCCCGTTATAGCATTACTAATTACTGTACAGCATGGTGGTTGTATACTTGACAAAGTTTACTGTTGTGTGGCCCAGTTTTGTTTTTCATTATTATGTTATTTCATTATATTTCATTATTGCTGGTCCATGATATTTACTATTGACATGCTTTGCGGGTAAATTCTTGTCTTCCATGTGTGAGTGACAGTCTAGTGGAAAACGATTGAACACAAATTGAATAAAGTCTATAGTAGTTTGGTGATCTTCTGATGCAGTAGTGAAGATGAAATATGATCCAATAAATCAGATGAATTATTCATGCAAAACATCTGTGTTTACTTCTTTTTTACTATGTAGGTCAGCCTTTGCACTCCAAGTGAAAACACACCTACAGAAAGTCTAGCCAGATTGGTCAGCATGATGTTTCAGTGGTTCCATTCCACTGCATACATGCTTGATGATGAAGTGGGAAGCCTGGTGGAAAAGCTGAAGCCTCAATTTGTCACCAAATGGTTGAAGACTGTTTGTGATGTTCGATTTGATGTCATGGTCATGTGTCTTCTTCCCAAACCCATGGAGTTTGCAAGAGTAAGTTTGTTTGTAGCCTGAAAATTCTCCAGGCATGCCCCATTTGCAAGACGCAGGCCAGTTCTAACCCAGCCAATAACATTTTCTACCTATAAAGGTCAGAAATGTTTAAATCCACATGCAGTTCCTCAGGTAATGAAACGTACTGTGCCTTTTGCAGCAAGAATTGGAGAGCATCCAAGCTAGGGCTGACCAATGTGACAACTAATCTCATGCCAGGAAATGATGATCCAAATTGCATACTTGCCTCCCCTTAACAATCATGGATATTATCAATAACCTGTCCACCACACCTTCAATGTTAAAGGGAATTGACATGGATGAGAAAGTTAACTGCAACAGCCACTCAAATATCATGGCAACTAGAACAAGTTAGATTCTGGGTATTCTGTGGCTAGTGACATACTTCTTGACTCCCCAAAGCATTTTTATCACCTGTAGTGCGCAGGTAAGGAGTGTGTTGGAATACACTGCACTTGCTGGAGGGTGTAGATTCAGTAACACTCAAGAAACTTGATCTGTCTGGCACATAGCAGACCACATGACTGGCACTTTATCCATTGGTATAACACCTGTTCCCTCTGCTAATATTGTTCAATAGCTGCAGTAAATCCTGTCTACTTTCCTTCACTATGAGCCATCCTCACCTTGTGTCAGCTGCTGGGTACCTTAAGCCTGGCAAACCCAGCCAGCAATTGTAGAACGTGCTGCATAGAACATAGAACATTACAGCGCAGTACAGGCCCTTCGGCCCTCAATGTTGCGCCGACCTGTGAAACCAATCTGAAGCCCATCTAACCTACACTATTCCATTATCATCCATATGTTTATCCAGTGACCATTTAAATGCCCTTAAAGTTGACGAGTCTACTACTGTTGCAGGCAGGGCATTGTACGCCCTTACTACTCTCTGAGTAAAGAACCTACCTCTGACATCTGTCCTATATCTATCACCCCTCAATTTAAAGCTATGTCCCCTCGTACTAGCCATCACCATCCGAGGAAAAAGGCTCTCACTGTCCACCCTATCTAATCCTCTGATCATCTTGTATGTCTCTATTAAGTCACTTCTTAACCTTCTTCTCTGTACCAAAAACAGCCTGAAGTCCCTCAGCCTTTCCTCATAAGACCTTCCCTCCATACCAGGCAACATCCTGGTAAATCTCCTCTGCACCCTTTCCAATGCTTCCACATCCTTCCTATAATGCGGTGACCAGAACTGTACGCAATACTCCAAGTGCGGCCGCACCAGAGTTTTGTACAGCTGCAACATGACCTCATGGCTCCGAAACTCTCTCCCTTTACCAATAAAACCTAACACACCGTACGCCTTCTTAACAACCCTATCAACCTGGTGGCAACTTTCAGTGATCTATGTACATGGACACCAAGATCTCTCTACTCATCCACACTACCAAGAATCTTACCATTAGACCAGTACTCTGTGTTCCTGTTACTCCTTCCAAAGTGAATCACCTCACACTTTTCCGCATTAAGCTCCATTTGCCCCCTCTCAGCCCAGCTCTACAGCTTATCTATGTCCCTCTGTAACCTGCAACATCCTTCCGCACTATCCACAACTCCACCGACTTTAGTGTCATCCGCAAATTTACTAACCCATCCTTCTACGCCCTCATCCAGGTCATTTATAAAAATGACAAACAGCAGTGGCCCCAAAACAGATCCTTGAGGTACACCACTAGTAACTGAGCTCCAGGATGAACATTTCCCATCAACCACCACCCTCTATCTCCTTACAGTTAGCCAATTTCTGATCCAAACCGCTAAATCACCCCCAATCCCGTGACTCCGTATTTTCTGCAATATCCTACCATGGGGAACCTTATCAAACACTTTAATGAAATCCATATACACCACATCAACCGCTTTACCCTCATCCACCTGTTTGGTCACCTTCTCAAAGAACTCAATAAGGTTTGTGAGGCACGACCTACCCTTCACAAAACCGTGTTGACTATCCCTAATCAAATTATTCCTTTCCAGATGATTATAAATCCTATCTCTTATAATCCTTTCCAACACTTTATCCACAACCGAAGTAAGGCTCACTGGTCTATAATTACCAGGGTTGTCTCTACTCCCCTTCTTGAACAAGGGGACAACATTTGCTATCCTCCAGTCTTCTGGCACTATTCCTGTAAACAATGACGACATAAAGATCAAAGCCAAAGGCTCTGCAATCTCCTCCCTAGTTTCCCAGAGAATCCTAGGATAAATCCCATCCGGCCCAGGGGACTTATCTATTTTCACACCTTCCAGAATTGCTAACACCTTCTCCTTATGAACCTCAATCCCGTCTAGTCTAATAGCCTGTATCTCAGTATTCTCCTCGACACCATTGTCATTTTCCTGTGTGAATACTGACGAAAAATATTCATTTAGTGCCTCTCCTATCTCTTCGGACTCCACGCACAACTTCCCACTACTGTCCTTGACCGGCCCCAATCTTACTCTAGTCATTCTTTTATTCCTGACATACCTATAGAAAGCTTTAGGGTTTTCCTTGATCCTACCTGCTAAAGACTTCTCATGTCCCCTCCTGGCTCTTCTTAGCTCTCTCTTTAGGTCCTTCCTGGCTAACTTGTAACTCTCAAGCGCCCTAACTGAGCCTTCACGCCTCATCTCTACATAAGCCTCCTTCTTCCTCTTGACAAGAGATTCAACTTCTTTAATAAACCACGGTTCCCTCGCTCGACCACTTCCTCCCTGCCTGACAGGTACATACTTCTCAAGGACACGCAGTAGCTGTTCCTTGAACAAGCTCCACATTTCAATTGTGCCCAGCCCCTGCAGTTTCGTTCTCCATCCTATGCATCTTAAATCTTGCCTAATCGCCTCATAATTGCCTTTCCCCCAGCTATAAATCTTGCCCTGTGGTATATACCTATCCCTTTCCATTGCTAAAGTAAACGTAACCGAATTGTGGTTACTATCACCAAAGTGCTCTCCTACCTCCAAATCTAACACCTGGCCTGGTTCATTACCCAGTACCAAATCCAATGTGGCCTCGCCTCTTGTTGGCCTATCGCCATACTGTGTCAGGAAACCCTCCTGCACACATTGGACAAAAACTGACCCATCTAAAGTACTTGAACTATAGCGTTTCCAGTCAATATTTGGAAAGTTAAAGTCCCCCATAACGACTACCCTGTTACTTTCATCTTTGCAATCCTTTCCTCTCCATCTCTGGAACTTTTCGGAGGCCTGTAGAACACTCCCAACAGGGTGACCTCTCCTTTCCTGTTTCTAACCTCAGCCCATACTACCTCAGTAGACGAGTCCTCATCAAACGTCCTTTCTGCCACTGTAATACTGCCCTTGACTAACAATGCCACACCTCCCCCTCTTTTACCACCTTCCCTGATCTTACTGAAACATCTAAACCCCGGAACCTGCAACAACCATTCCTGTCCCTGCTCTATCCATGTCTCCGAAATGGCCACAACATCAAAGTCCCAGGTACCAACCCACGCTGCAAGTTCACCCACCTTATTCCGGATGCTCCTGGTGTTGACGTCGACACACTTCAAACCACCTTCATGCCTGCCGGTGCACTCCTGCGATAGGGTTGAAACCTTATTCATGACCTCACTACTCTCAACCTACTGTACACTGGAGCTACAATTCAGGTTCCCATCCCCTTGCTGAATTAGTTTAAACCCTCCTGAAGAGCATTAGCAAATTTCCCCCCCAGGATATTGGTACCCCTCTGGTTCAGGTGTAGACCATCCCGTTTGTAGAGGTCCCACCTACCCCAGAATGAGCCCCAATTATCCAGGTATCTGAATCCCTCCCTCTTGCACCATCCCTGTAGCCACGTGTTCAACTGCTCTCTCTCCCTATTCCTCGCCTCGCTAGCACGTGGCACGGGTAACAAACCAGAGATAACAACTCTGTTTGTTCTAACTCTAAGCTTCCACCCTAGCTCCTTGAATTTCCTTGAATTTCTGGTTAAACCAGAAGGCTATGGTCTCACTAACATACTTCAAATGTTAACCTGCCTCCTGAGAATGAGTTGGATACTTATCCCTAGTTCCTAGGAATGGGAATTAATGAAGGCAGTGGGGTGCGGTCCAACATCTGTCACCTATAACTGGTGCACTCCACACCAACCTGATCTCTGGGACTCCGTTGGGGAAAGTGTGGACTCCCACTAGGAGCTGACAGTTCATCACAGAATTCCTGGAGAAAGTAATGATGGAATGGGGACTGCAGGTCATTGGCAATGTGACTGGAGGGTGGCCAGAGGAAATGAACATAGAACAGTTAAGTACAGCACAGTACAGGCCCTTCGGCCCACGATGTTGAGCCGACCTATTATCTTACTAAGATCAATCTACCCACATATCCTGCATTTTACTATCCTCCATGTGCCTCTCCAAAAGTCGCTTAAAAGTCTCTAAAGTATCTTACTCCATTACCACTGCCAGCAGCGCATTCCACATGCCCACCACTCTCTTGTGAAGAACCTACCTCTGACATCTCCCCTATACCTTCCTCCAAACACCTTAAAATTATGCCCCTCATAATAGTCATTTCCGCCCTGGGAAAAGGTCTCTGACTATCCACTGTATCTATGCCTCTCATGATAGAGGTGTACAAGATGAAGTCACCTCTCATGCTTCTTCGCTCCAATGAAAAAAACCCTAGCTCCCTCAGTCTTTCTTCATAAGACCTGCCCTCAAGTGCAGGCAGCATCCTGGTAAATCTCCTCTGTACCCTCTCTAAAGCTTCCACATCTTTCCAGTAATGAGGGACCAGACCTGAACACAATATTCCAAGTGTGGTCTAACCAGAGTTTTACAGAGCTGCAGCATAACCTCGCGGCTCTTAAACTCAATTCCCCTGCTAATGAACGCCAACACACCATACGCCTTCTTTACAACCCTATCAACTTGGGTAGCAACTTTGAGGGGACCTATGGACGTGGACCCCAAGATCCCTCTGTTCCTCCACGCTGCTGAGAATCCTGCCATTAACCCTGTATTCTGCATTCAAATTCGACCTTCCAAAATGAGTCACTTCACACTTCACATGACCGAGTCAGTCGGTTTGCAGAGGAAGACTAATGCAGATTGCCTGGCGTGGCGCCCTTTCCACTGTAAGCTCAGTGTTGCACTGATAGCTGTTGTTTGTGAAGTGGACAGTTACAGACAGAGAGAAGTGGGGAATATGGCTGCTATTCGGAAGAAGCTGGTGGTGGTGGGAGATGGAGCCTGTGGAAATGAGATGTGTGAGACTTTCAGCAGGTACACTGATTCCCAACACTGGGTCTCTCAATCAGGCATGGGAGTATCTTTGAGGGAGAGGCCAGCCCTCCACCAGAAGTCTGCCAGCAAACCTTATAGGATTTGCTTGACAGTCGCCTATTGCTTGGTGAGCTCCTCCTCCTTTCCCTCTCCCATCCAGGTCCCAGGTAAACTCTGGAAATTGATTCGTTAGAGCCATTTTTCTGACACCCTCAGAATTTTTCTCCATTTACTCCCTGACTTGCATCCAATCCACAAATTCAAACATGTTAAAGTATCTGCCATGATATATTATTATCATTTTACATGATGTATTATCACTTGATAACATCATGATCACATTGAGCAAGACTATTGATTTATTAAAATTGAACAAAAATGATCAGAAATACACAGCATTTGAATGACAAAGATCAATTTTTAAACTTCTCCTACGACAATAGACAGGCTTGTTTCATGTGATGCAATGAAGGTCTAAATGTAGACACTAAAGTTAATTCATCACTGACATGGTAAGATAGAACTCTTAATACCAGAGTGAAGCAGGAGCCTTTGGCTTGTTATTTGGGCATGAGCCCGTGTCTCAGAAGTGAACAGGCAATTTTGTAATTCATCAGAACTTTTTCCCTGTAATTCATTTGCTTGTGCTAAAATATTAAGATGCTTTAATTTTCTCAGGATTCAAAAGGGCTGAATTTGGCCTTGGAGATGGGAAGAGAGGCACTGTCGCAGCATTCTGCTACCACTGTGAAGCATACGACCCTGGGGAAGGGTGCCACATCATGTCAGGAGATACCCAGTTAAATGGAGGCAGCCTCTTAGGCGACGTTGAAAGTGGGTGGAGGCGGGGAAGGCATTATGCAGCAAAGAGAAGACCTCAGGAAGGGAAACGGTCCCCATCAATATCCCTGCATAGGTTTCCTGCCTGTACTCGGCTCACTGAGCATCTTGATTTGTTTTCTCTTATGTTCTGTGGGCTGTGGGACTCCTTTCTGCTTCTCAGACAGCTGAGCTGCTGGCTGTCTGAATGGGCAATATGCTTTTCCTCCTAATGCTGGGATGTATCTTCCGATGGTAAAATCTTACCTGGGATTATTCAATAAAATAAACTCGTTGCTGATATTCCGTTGTCTCTAACAGGCCTTTCTACAGCTGCTCTTAAGTCCAGCCAGCCCCAAAACCTGACTGGCAAATATTCAGACCCTGAAATCTGATTGCCAAAAAATGTTTTAGCCCACATGCCAGCCAACAGCCACTCCTTTCTGCTCTGAACTCTGACTGAAAAATGTACATATTTCCTGTTGTGTATTGTTGACTATACTCAAATTCTCTAACCTACTGAAAGAAGATTGTAGAAATTCTTAAAAATTGATTGAACAACATCTCAGAATATCTTGTTTATTTTAAAACCTTCAGAATTCAGAACTGTTTGCATGCTTTCCGTGGATCAGGTTTACATCGTTTCAAGCAATACAAAAAAAAATTTAACTAACTGTAATGAGGAATTCTGCATTTTGGTCTCAAAAAATACAAAAGCAACAGCCAGAAAATAGCTGCTTCCAAATATAGTGTATTAATTTTGTGATAAATTGCTGTGATAGCAAATTTGAGTCATACGTCTTTTCTCCATTACCAGTCACCTTTTTAGTCTTCTTTAATCTGCCTCTGCCATTATTACCTTGAGTAATGAGGAGTGAATGGACCTTTTTACCACTGAGATTGAGGTAATCTATTTAGTTCCTTTTCCTATATACTTCCCACTCTGCTTGTATAGTCATTAGTAGGCCACATTCCCTGAAATTTCCCACCTAAACTCTGAGTCTCAACCTCTCTGTCTTCCTCTGACCGTAATTAAAACTCAACTCTCTGAAAACAGTTTTAGTTATCCTTCCCAATGCCTACTTTGTGGCTCACTGTCAATTGTTGCCTAATTGCACATTAGGGGAAGCACTTCTGGATGTTTTTCTATGAGAAAGGTGTTTATACAAACGCAAGTTGTACTGAGGCAAGGTGTATTTTCAGGTTGGTGGGTACTGGGACAAGCGCTGTAGTACTGTGACACAGCTAAAGGAAGGCTTGAATCGAATCCTGTGCCTTATTCCATATAATGTTATAAATCAAGCTGTGTGGGAATGCATTATGCCAGAATGGTTGGAATCTATCCGAACTGAGGTGCCAGACAACCAGTTAAAAGAGTTTAAAGAGGTTTTAAGGTACGTACGAAGTTTGTTGCTCAATTCCTCACTTCCATTTTTTTTCTTAAAGTCATATTTCCAAGATATATATTAATAACATGCGTCTGGCAATAAAACTAAAGGAATAAAATGATAAGTACTTTCATGGAAGTAACAACATACCAGAATATTTTTCCAGTTTAATTATGTTAATTTCGAAGAAAATTGAATTCCCCACTAAAAAACATTGGGAGTTTTTGCAATGAGAATTCATTCATGATTGTGTGTGTTGAGATGTGATGCTGCAGTGTAGTAGCCCTACTTCAGTGAGGATTTCCTGAAACTACCCTTGTTACAGAAATTAATTGATCCACTTGTTTGTCCATTAATACACTAGATGCAATAGTGCTGAACTGCCTGTGCACAATTGTTTCATTAATGGTTGATCTGGCATTGGGCAAGCTGTTGTGTTAGAGCTCCATGTCACTTGATCAATACAATCTTCACACAATTACCAATCCAATCAATGCTCAATAAGAACAAAAATAGACTTGCATTCGTATAGTGCCTTTAATGAGCTCAGAATATCCGTTTTGGATACTGTTGGTGGGGGGGAACGACCTACCAGGGGAAGGCCACAGCGGGCAGGTCTCTGGCACTGAGCCTGACCCTGACCCTGTGGCACAGAAAGGAAAGGGGGAGAATAGGAGAGCAATTGTAGTGGGGGATTCAATAGTAAGAGGCACAGACAGGCGGTTCTATGGACACGAACGAGATGAAAGGATGGTATGTTGCCTCCCGGGTGCCAGGGTCCGTGATGTCTCGGATCGTGTCCTCAAGATCCTTAAGCGGGAGGGTGAGCAACCAGCAGTCATGGTACAGATCGGTAGCAATGACATAGGTAGAAAAAGGACTGAGAATGTGAAAAACGAGTACGGGAGTTAGGTTGAAGCTGAAGTCCAGGACAAACGGGGTAGTTATCTCTGGATTACTATCAGTACCACGTGATAACGAAGTAAGAAATAGGGAGAGAGTGCAGCTAAACACATGGCTACAGGGCTGGTGTAGGAGGGAGGGCTTCCATTATGTGGATAATTGGAGCACATTCTGGGGAAGGTGGGACCTGTACAGTAAGGACGGGTTGCACCTGAACCGGAAGGGCACAAATATCCTGGGAGGGAGGTTTGCTGGAGCTGTACAGGATAGTTTAAACTAGTTTGGCAGAGGGTGGGGAACCGGATTTATAATTCAGAGGATGAGGTATTCGGCCTTCTGACAGACACAACAGGGAGTGAGACAACAAGGTGCAGAGCTGGATGAACACAGCAGGCCAAGCAGCATCATGCCTGCTGTGTTCATCCAGCCCTGCACCTTGTTGTCTCAGATTCTCCAGCATCTGCAGTTCCTACTATCTCTGATACAAGAGGGAGTGAGGTGGTTTATAAAGAAATGCGGTTGATGGAGCGTAATTGCGGACACCAAGGTGGTTTTAGGTGTGTATACTTCAATGAAGAAGTATCAGAAATAAAGCGGATGAACTTAGAGCATGGGTCGGTACTTGGAACTACGATGTTGTGGCCATTACAGAAACTTGGGTAACTCAGGAAGAGGGATGGATGTTGGAAGTTCCGGGATTTAGATGCTTTAAAAGAAATAGGGAGGGTGGAAAAAGAGGTGGGGGAGTGGCATTGCTAGTCAGGGCAAGTATAGCAGCTACTGAAAGGCAGTTGGAGAATGATATGTCTACAGAGTCAGTTTGGGTTGAGGTCAGGAACGAGAAAGGAGCAGTCACTTTGTTGGGGGTTTTTTACAGACCCCCTAATAGTTGCAGAGAAGTAGAGGAGCGGATTGGGAGGCAGTTACTGGAAAGGTGCAGAAGTCACAGGGTTGTAGTGATGCGTGACTTCAACTTTCCAAATATTGATTGGAAACATTTTAGTTGTAATAGTTTAGATGGAGCAGATTTTGTCCAGTGCGTTCAGGAAGGATTCCTGACACATTATGTAGATAGACCAACATGAGGAGAGGCCACTTTGGATTTAGTGCTTGGCAACGAACCGGGTCAAGTGTGAGACCTGTTGGAAGGTGAGCATTTTGGCGGTAGTGATCATAACTCTGTTTCTTTCATGATAGTCATGGATAAGGATAGGTACATACGGCAGGGTAAAGTTTATAATTGGGGGAAGGGTAATTACAATTCAGTTAGGCAAGAACTGGGTAACATAAATTGGGAACAGATGCTGTCAAGGAAGAGCACCACAGAAATGTGGAGATTGTTTAAGGAATGCATACTGCATGTGCTCGATATGTTTGTCCCTAGCAGGCAGAGAAGATGCGGTCGAGTGAGGGAGCCATGGTTCTCGAGAGAGGTCGAATGACTGGTTAAGAGGAAGAAGGAGGCTTATGTAAGGTTTAGGAAAAGAGGAATGGAAAAGGCTCTAGAGGGATACAAGTTAGCCAGGAAGGAGCTGAAGAAAGGGCTTAGGAGAGCTATAAGGGGACATGAGAAAACCTTCGCGAATAGGATCAAAGAAAACTCGAAGGCTTTTTACACGGATGTGCAGAACAAGAGAATGACCAGAGAAAGGGTAGGGCCGATCAAGGATTGTAAAGGGAATTTGTGCACAGAGCTTAAAGAGATAGGAGAGGTCCTTAATGAGTACTTTTCTTCAGTATTCACAACTGAGAGGGACCTAGTTGTAGAGGAGGACGTTGTGAAACAGGCAGGTAGGCTAGAGGAGGTTGATGTTAGTAAAGAAGATGTGCTAGGAATTCTGAGGAAGTTGAAGATAGATAAGTCCCCCGAGCTTGATGGGATTTGTCCAAGGATTCTATAGGAAGCGAGGGACGAGATCGCAGGGCCTTTGGTGATGATCTTTTCATCCTCACTGTTCACGGCTATAGTGCCGGCAGATTGCATAGAGGCAAATGTCATTCCCTTGTTCAAAAAAAAGAACAGGGATAACCCCAGAAATTACAGACCAAGTTAGTCTTACGTCAATGGTGGGCAAATTATTGGAAAGGGCTCTGAGAGACAGGATTTGTGATCACTTGGAAGGGCACAGTTTGATTCGTGATAGTCAGCATGGATTTGTGAGGGGTAGATCATGCCTCACAAACCTTATTGAATTCTTTGAAGAGGTGACCAAACACGTGGATGAAGGTGGAGCAGTGGATGTGGTATTCATGGATTTAAGTAAGGCGTTTGATAAGATTCCCCATGGTAGGCTCATGCAGAAAGTAAGGAGGCATGGGATAGGGGGAAATGTGGCAGATTGGATTCAGAATTGGCTGACCCTTCGAAGACAAAGGGTGGTAGTGGATGGAAAATATTCAACATGGTGCTCAGTTACGAGTGGTGTACCACAACGTTCTGTTCTGGGTCCTCTTCTATTTGTGATTTTTGTAAATGATTTGGATATAGGAGTGGAAGGGTGGATTAGTAAGTTCGCAGATGATACGAAGGTGGGTCGAGTTGTGGATAGTGTGGAGGGCTGTTCTAGGTTACAAAGGGACATTGATAGGATGCAGAGCTGGGCTGAGAAGTGACAGATGGAGTTTAACCCTGAAGAGTGTGAGGTGATTCATTTTGGAAGGACAAACTTGAAAGGAAAATACAGGGTTAATGGAAAGATTCTTGGCAATGTGGAGGAGCAGAGGGATCTTGGGGTTCATGTCCACAGTTCCCTGAAAGCTGCCACCCAGGTGGATAGAGTTGTTAAGAAGGGGTATGGTGTGTTAGCTTTCATTAATAGAGAGATTGAGTTCAAGAGCCATGAAGTTATGCTCCAGCTATACAAAAGCCTGGTTCGGCCACATCTGGAGTATTGTGTCCAGTTCTGGTCACCTCATTACAGGAAAGATGTGGAAGCGTTGGAAAAGGTGCAGAGAAGATTTACCAGGATGTTGCCTGGAATGGAGGGAAGGTCTTACGAGGAAAGATTGAGGGAGCTAGGGCTTTTCTCCGTAGAACGACGAAGGATGAGAGGTGACTTGATAGAGGTGTACAAAATGATCAGAGGTATAGATAGAGTAGACAGCCAGAGACTTTTTCCTAGGGTGGAGGTAGCTTTTACGAGGGGACATAGTTATAAAGTGAAAGGAGGTAGATATCGGGGAGACGTCAGAGGTAGGTTCTTTACTCAGAGAGTGGTAGGGCCGTGGAATGCATTGCCAGAGACGGTAGTGGAGTTGGCCTCATTAGGGGCATTTAAGCAGCTATTAGATAGGCATGTGGATAATAGTATAAGGTAGCGGTGGAGGTTAGATAGACCTTAGGTTTCAGGTAAAAGTTCGGCACAACATCGTGGGCCGAAGGGCCTGTACTGTACTGTTCTATGTTCTATGCTCTAATACACCAAAACCCTTTACAACCAATGAATACTTACTAAATGTAAGCCAAAATGCTCAGATGCTAATTGATGCTCTTAAGTGATCAATTAATGACCAATTCGAGTCTCATCCTGCTGTTGTGGACCCCAGAAAGAAATTGGCAGACTTATTTCCAGGCTTCGGAGATGAGTTGGGATTTCGGTCCATTATTCAAAGGCAACCAGTGCATGATTGAGGGATCTGGCATTAAGAAGGCAGGGATGGAGATGGGGGCTCTGACCCTGTCACTCCCCAGCCAACAATTGTTTCTCCTCTTACCACCCTCACTTACCTGTGGGCAATTCCAAGTCCCTGGTGGGTTGATTACTGGTGGTAACTTGTCTGAAGTGCTTGAGGGTTGGGATTTCTTCCCTTGGGATCCTAAATTAGTAGGCTTATACACTTAAAAAGAAACTTGTGCTGTAGTCTAATTCTCCACAAATGATACTGGGTGAGCTTTTCTCTGTCTATAGCAAACAAGAATATAACTTATTTTATACTAGGTTAGGAAATGCATTGTGGCTTCCAAACAACATCTGGGAATAATAGTGTTCTCAGTCTCCTGCCTGCCAGGTAAATATATTTGCTTAGCAATGACAACGTCTTCTGAGCGTGAGCTTGGAACATTGTTAGTTTATAAGAGTTGTGGGAAGTAATAAAATTTCACCCTTGGGGAAAGCTTGATGGGGCAAGTACTTTATAATTAAATTACTTTATTTAACTACAGGTGCTTATTATTTAATATGCGTAAAATTGAAAAAAAGATGAGATATGCAGTAATACTCTACTATTCTATTGCTGAGCTTCATTTTATTTGTAATTCTGTCAGGGTTCTGATTGGAAGCTAATGTTAACATTGATTTATTTCAGCAAAATGTTTGATATTGAACTTTGCCCATTGCCCTTTTCCTTGGAAGAGATGTTTGGTTTTATTAGCTGTAGATTTACTGGCTACCCTGCTTCAGTACAGGAACAAGCTTTACTTTGGCTTCATGTAAGTAAATATCCTTATCGATGAGTTTTAATTTGAAAACTTTGTATTAATTCTCATCTACAGTTCAGTTACACTTGAATAGTGTCTGTGATATAAATTGTTCAAGTTCCATGTTTCTGCTATTAAACCTATTTCAGTTCCAGCATTGACTGTTGATTGTTGTCATGTATTTACTGCATAAAATTGTATTGCCTTTGTAAAGATGTGGCATAAATCCAGAAGCGAGGTCTGTTCTGAAGTCAAATAAGACTCTATGGTAGCTCTGGGTTCAAATTTCAGCTGCTTAGCATTTTTGCAAACCAAATGCATGAATAATATGTACAATACAAATTGCACATTTTTGTTTAAATCTAACATTAATTAAAAAGCATCATAATTATTTGATTGTTACTACTGGGGATTATGGTACTCCTGAAAGTGTTACTCTGTAGATCAAGTAGATTTGCTAATTAGTGCCCAGTAGTTATTGGATGAGTTTAATACAGGTGCATAATCTTAAAGTTCAAAGGGCTTGCCACCACAATATGCGAAGAAATAAATCTATGTACAAAGAGTCAACTGTTGTGCAATCGCAGTGTGACTTTAAATATTGTATATATGTGTATGTATGTTTCTTTTGTATTACTATTAATGGTTAAATACCCACTGTTTGAAGATCCAACTGTAAGTAGCAAACATGCAACAATTTAACTAACTGTTTGAAAATTCAGAAGCTTGTTAAATTTAAAAGTTTCAAATAGCAAATGATTAAGTTGTGTTTGCACACGTTCCTGGTTTCAGTGTCCTGCTGTCTAACAAATGCAGTTTCGGTCGATCCTTTTTGATTAGGTTTTATCAGAACTAGATATAATCGTCCCTCTCCAGCTATTGATCAGTATGTTTTCTGATGGAGTGAACTCAGTCAAGGAATTGGCGAACCAAAGAAAAGCAAGAGCCAATGACCAGCCAGGAAATCTAACTGCTCGACGGGTAACTTTTATTTGTGCCTGCTTCCATTGACTGGACAGTATTATCAATCATTCTGTTCTATGCTTTTAATTTTATTAATTGAGACAGTTGTGCTGGGCTAAGCTGACTCAGGCAATTTTTACGCGCCCTTATTAAATCAGATTAAATTTTCTGCATATATTTAAATTTAACTTCAATTTTGCCACCGTCATTCCTGCCAGTTGAGCTAAATCTTAATGCTTAAAAGTTGGTGTTTTGTTAATATAGATCCTTAATTGATAGTGCCTGAAACCATCTAGAACTATTTTAGACATAGAATTTTGCAGCAGGGAAATAGGCCTTTCCATACATTGTATGCGTGCTGGTCATCAAGCACCTATCTGCATTAACTCCAATTTCCAGCATTTGGTCTCAAGACTTGGATGCTTTGGCATTTCAAGTGTTCATCTAAATAATGCCTTAAATGTTTTAAGTGTTCTTGCCTCAATTACCCTTTCATGCAGCGAGTTCCAGATATCCCCTGCTCTGCGTGAAAAGCGTTTTCCTCAAATCTTGTTCACACCTCTTGCCTGTTATTTTAAATCTATGCACCCTGGTTATTGATCCCTTAGCTAAGGGAAGAAGATTTTTTCCTATCCCGTAGGTGTCCCCCACAATTTTTTACATCTCAATCAGGTTCTGTGTCAGCTTTCTCTGCTCGAATAAAAACAGCCTCAGCATATCTAGTCTCTCTTCGTAGCTGACTTGGGAGTTGGTTCGCTCAGGTGGTTGGACAGCAGGTTTGTATTGCAGGGTGATACCAGCCACATGGGTTCAATTCTTGCACTGGCCAAGGTTTTCATGAAGGATTCTCCTTCTCAAACTCCTCTGAGATGTGGCATCGTTAGGTTAAAGTTACACCAGTCATCTCTGTTTCGCTAAAATGTGAGAGTAGGACTGTAGTGGCTTTATAGATGAATTGTTTGAGGCCCAGCAACATCCTAGTGAATCTCTTCTGTACCCTCTCTTGTTAAATCACGTACTTTCTAAAATGTGGTGACCAGAATTGTACGCAGTACTCCAGGGATGGTATAACTAATGTTTTATACAGTTCCATTATATCCTCCCTGCTGTTTGTATTGAATGCCTTGATTAATAATATTAAGTATCCCATATGCCATTTTAAACACCTTATCCACTGGTGCCGTTCGACACAGGCTTCCAATCATAAAGACAACCTTCAACCATCAGACTCTGCCTCCTGCCATTTGATCCCATGGGCTTTTATATTCTTGACCAGTATCTCTTGACTAGTAGAGTTGACAAGGGGGAGCCAGTTGATGTAGTATATTTGGACTTAGAGAAAGCATTTGATGAAGTCCCACATAAGAGATCAATGCGCAAGATTAAAGCGCATGGGATTGGGGGAAGTGCATTGAGATGGATAGGAAACTGATTGGCAGAGAGGAAACAAAGAATAGCAATTAATGGGCCCTTTTCAAATTGGCAGACAGTAACTAGTGGGGTGCCACAGGGATCGGTGCTGGGACCCCAGCTATTTACAACATGTATTAATGATTTGGATGAGGGAACAAAATGTAATATCTCCAAGTTTGCAGATGATACCAAGTTGAGTGGGAGGGTGAACTGTGACGAGGATGCAGATATCCTTTAGCATGATCTTGACAGGTTGGGTGAGTGGGCAAATCAGTGGCAGATGCAGTATAATTTGGATAGATGTAATTTGGATAATTCACTTCGGAAGCAAAAACAAGAAGGCAGATTACTACCTGAATGGCTGTAAATTGGGAGAGGGGAGTGTGCAGTGGGACCTGGATGTCGCTGAAGGTAAGCATGCAGGTGCAGCAGGTGGTAAAGAAGGAAAATGGTATGTTGGCCTTCATTGCGAGAGGCTTTGAGTACAGGAACAGGGATGTGTTGTTGCAGTTACATAGGGCCTGAGATCACACCTGGAATATTGCGTGCAGTTTTAGGCTCCTTTTCTTGCTCTCGAGGGAGTGCAGCGAAGGTTTACCAGGCTGATTCCGGGGATGGCGGGCCTGATGTATGAGGAGAGATTGACTAGGTTGGGATTGTTTTCACTAGAGTTCAGATGAATGAGGGGGGGGAATCTCATAGAGACCTATAAAATTCTAGCAGGACTAGATAGGGTAGGTGCAGGGAGGATGTTCCCAATTGTGGGTGTGTCCAGAACCAGGGGTCACAGACTGGGGATTCGGGGTAGATCATTTAGGATGGAGATGAGGAGACATTTCTTCACGCAAAGAGTGGTGAGCCTGTGGAATTCATTTCCACAGGAAGTAGTTGATGCCAAAACATTGAATGTATTCAAGAGGTTAGACATAGATATAGCACTTGGGGTGAATGGGATCGAAGGTTATGGGGAGAAAAAGCATTAGACTATTGAGTTGGACGATCAGCCATGTTTTGTGAAGAATGGTGGAGCAGGCTCGAAGGGCTGAATGGCCTCCTGCTCCTCCTATCATCTATGTTTCCATGTTTCTGTCATGTGTAAGACTTGTGACAAAAGCCTTGTCAAAGTCTATACAGACCAAATCAACCACACTGCCCTCATCTCCACACCTAGTCACTTCCTCGAAAAATTCAGTCAAATTTATTGGACCTGCTGTTACCTGACAATGCCATACTGAGTATCCTTGATTATTCCTTGCCCCTCCAAGTGGAGATTAATTCTCACCATCAAAATTTTTTCTACTAGTTTCTGTACCACTGATGTTAGATTCAATGGCCTGTAGTCTCCTGGATTGTCTCTACCATCCTTTTTGAATGATGGTATCACATTAGCTGCCCTCCAGTCCTTTGGCATATCTTCTGTAGCTGGTCAGTATTTGAACATCAATGATAGAGCCCCTGCAATCTCTTCCCTTGCCTCCCATAGCACCTTAGGATACATTGCATCTGGGCCTGGGGATTTTTTCACTTCCAAGTCTGCCAAAACTGCTAATATCCCCCACTTCTCAGTGCCGATTTGTTCAACTATATTGCGGGACCCCTCCTGATTTCTGTACCCAAATCATTCTCTCTATAGTGAGCACAGATACACAGAACACGTTTGAAACCTCATCTGCGTCTTCTAGCTCCACTTCACCTGACGAAGGAGCAGCAGTCCGAAAGCTTGTGACCTCAAATAAACCTGTTGGACTAAACCTGGTGTCAAGTGACTTCTGACCTCTTCTAGCTCCAGGCACGAATTGCTACTGTGGTTCCTAATGGGCTCCGCTCTTTCCACAGTTGTCCTCTTACCTCTACCATAATAATAACATGCCTTTTACCAGTCAGTGTCTTTCATGCTCCCTCTTCATTCTTCTAAAGTTTTTGAAGTTACCCCTTGCACTTCCTATTCTCCTAAACACACACATATATATAATATATACTGTACTATTTTGAGACCTCAGTATCTGCCAAAAGCTTTTTTTTTTAACCTTATCTAGGTTGGACATACAGTATTCTCTGGAGTTGTTTGTTCCACCCTTCATCGTTATGGGAACATGTTGGTCCTGCATTTTCATTAGTTATTTTGTGAATGACTCCCATTGTTCTGATGTAGACTTCCCTACAAGTAGCTGCTCCCAGACACTTTGGTCATGTTCTGTTTCATCATACTGGCCTTCCCCTAATTCAGAATCTTTACTATCTTATTTAGTTACAGCCAGTATCACTGAAATGCTCCCCAGTGACACTTGTACTGCTTGTACCACTTGTCTGGCTTCGTTCCCTAAAATTAAGTCCCGTTCTAGCCCCTCTCTTGTCGGACTTTCTACAAATTGGCTTAAAAAAATTCTCTTGGATACATTTTAAAAGTTCTGCACCTCTAAGCCTTTCATACCGTCTATCCCAGTTAATATTGGGGAAGTTGAAATACTCTGCTATTATTTTTATGGCTGTCTGAGATTTGCTGACATATTTGTCCTATTACCTCTCCTTGATAGTTTGGGGATCGATATTATACTTCTAGCAATGTGACTGCCCCTTTTTTTTTGGTTTTTTGCTTCTCCCTGTAGGGGAATTTGAGGAACCTTCTAAAGTACCATCCTTTCTTATTTCAGTACTTGTCAATATTGCAGTACCAGCTCCTGTTTACACCCTTCCCTGTCTCATCTGAAGATCGTATGACCCCTAATAATAAGCTACCAGTCCTGCCCGTCCCTCACCCATGTCTCCATGATAGCAATGATGTCCTATCTCCATGTGTTAATCAATATCTTGAATTCATCTGCCTTTCTTGCGAACTCTATGCATTAAAATAAATGCTATCCTGTTGAGGTTGGTTGGCTCGCCGAGCTGGTTTGTTGTTCCGCAGACGTTTTGTTACCGTGCTTGGTAACATCCTCAGTGCAGCCTCTGATGAAGCGTCAGTGTGTTTTCCCGCCTGCCTTTTAAACTCTGGGATCCGTTGCGATGGATTGCCTCACTTCCGGGTTTCCTCCATAGTGGAATGTATATGGGGTCGATTTCACTGTGTTTATTAATACCCTGCTTCGTGGAGTGCCATGCTTCCAGGAATTCTCGTGCTTGTCTCTGCCTAGCCTGTCCCAGGATCTTGGTGTTGTCCCAGTCGAAGTCGTGGTTCTCCTTGTCCATGTGGATTGAGATGAGTTTTAAATGCTATCCTGCCTGGCTATTCTCCCTTGTATTTTAACATGACTGTATTCGGTCTGTCTTTCTGGCTGGCTTCGTCTTTCTTCTGTACTTGTTTGTGCATCATTTCCTATTCCAAAACCCATACCCCTGCCAAATGAGTTTAAATGGCACTAATGACACTCACAAACCAACCCCTCCCCCCAAATCCTCTACAAGTATGTTTATGTTCAACCCATTGGACTTGCACAAATGCCATCATTCTGAGAAATGGACCCAGTGATCCAGGAATCTGAAGCCCTCGCTCCTGCACAGTTCATCAGCCACGTGTTCATCTGCATGTGTCTGCTGTTATACTTGCCAGCATGTGGCACTATGAGTAATTTGGAGATTATAACCATTGAGGTTCTGCTTTTCAATCTGCTACCTGACTGCTTAAATTCCTGTTACAGAACCTCATCCCTCTTTCTCCTTTTGTCATTGGTACCAAAGTGAATCGTGATTTCTGACTGTTCACCTTCCCCCTTCACGATGCCCTACTGCCTTTCAGCAACATCTTTGTTCCCGGCCCGAGGAAGGCAACACATTATCAAAGAGTTACGTTTGCGACCACAGAAGCACCTGATGTAGCCATCACTCTTGAGTCTCCTATCAGAATTGCTCTCCCTTTCTTTTTTAGTTGCCCTTGTGCAGCTGGGCTCTGGCTGTACTAGCCAGAGAACCTGTGACTCAAACCATTTAAGGTTCTAAGGAGTAAGGAGAGAAATGGGAATATGGCATTGGGAGAGAGGATCAGCCATGATCAGGTTTGCAGAGCCATATGGCCTTCTCCTACTGTTAGTTTCTGTACTTCTGTGTTGTGATCTCTGATGTTGAATGATCTATTCTTAGCAAAGTGTAAGGGATAGACAGTGAATGCTGCCCCACCCAGTGACACAAACATCCTACAAATGAATGAAAAGAAAGATTCAGCTTTACCCTGTAACACCCCTATTATAATGTCTCCTTTTGTTGCCTTTGCCTCAGTGTTCACTTCTTTGGCCAGCAGTCATACACCACTCAATGAACTCTTTCACCCTCCGTATTCAATGGATCATTTTCCACCATTTCTGCACCTTCCAAGAGATCCACCATCAAACACATCTCCCCCCTCCCCCCCGCCCCCAATCATGTAGTGTGTTGTCATTAAACATTTTATGGCATTGAAATATTAATGTTTAAACTGCATGTGCCTCGTTTAAATTTGCTTAAGCTGGCTGTTTCTTATTTTGGTTCCGCTCACGATGTAAAGTGAAGTCCTGCTATTTACATTGGTTACGTTCCTCAAAATCCTCTAAACAGTCAGTTTTATAAACAGCGGGCTTGACAAACTGTGCAGGCACAGCATAGGACACTTGTTTAGCCTGCACTTTATAGTCCAGAAGGAAGTTTTTTTCAGTTTTTCTCTTTAAAGGCATAGATAAATGAAGCTTAGCCTCAAAGTGGGTGCGCAGTACGATAAGCAAATTCAGGAAAGGTCAGTGTGTGAATGGTGGGTCTTGACTGTATGTTTTATACAGTGACTTTATCTTTATTTTCTTCGAGCCGTTGTCCTAATGAATGCACTGTTTTTCCATAGGTTAGTGTTGTATCAGATCCTGGACGCAGAGGCCAACATGTTACTCTTAGTCCATTTCCTAGCCCCTTTCGTAGCCCATTCTGCAGTCCATTGCGCAGTCCATTCCGTGGTTGTTTTAAGAATTTTGGATCTGCAGGAGGAAGAGCCATTGACTTTGATTCTGATGATGATGAGATGAACCTGTCTTGCTTTATACTGATGTTTGATTTGATATTGAAACAGGTAATGATTTAGTTGCTCCTTTTCCTGGTATATCACATGTGAAATTTCAGGTTAAGTTATTCTGTGCACGATTTAAAGATGAATATGTTACAGCTTCTTGGGACAAGTATTTTAATTTCACCATTGAAGAAATCTCCCAGAAATAGAGATCAAAGTGGCCAGGGAAAACAAGTTCAAGGAAATTAGAATCAGTAAGAAGATTGTACTGGAGAAGTTAACAGGTCTGTTGAGTTGATGAAACCCCAGCACCTGATGGCCTTCATCTCAGAGGGTTGAAGTAGGTAGTTGTAGGGAAAGTTAATGCATTTGTGATTTTCTTCAAATAGTCTACAGATTCTGGAATGATTTCTGCGGATGTGAAGGTGGTAATGTAACAAGAAAGGGAGAGAGAAAACAGGGCTGCAGGCCTGTCAGCCTTACATCAGTAGTAGAGAAAGTGCTAGAATCTACTATAAGTGATTGGTTACATAGCTATCTGGTTGATAATGATCTAATTAGGCATAGTCAGTATGAATTTGCAAATGGGAAATTGTGCTTGTCGAAAGTGTTGAGTTTCTCTGAAGATGTTACTGTCAAATTTGATAAAGGAGAGCCAATGGACATTGTGTACTTAGATATTCAGCACTCCTCTGATAAATTCCCGCTTTGGAGGCTGGTTAGAAAACTGAAAGCAGATAGGATGAGCCCCTCATAATTTTATACATCTCAATCGTGTCCCCACCTCTCCAATTTCTGAGGAAGGGTCTAGGCCCGAAACGTCAGCCTTCCTGCTCCTCTGATGCTGCTTGGCCTGCTGTGTTCATCCAGCTCTATACCTTGTTATTCCAGTATATTGAATGCCACTTTTTATAACACAAACTGACCAGGCAAGCCAGTGCCCTGGCAAATACCCTCTCCGATGCAATCACATCCCTTCTATTATGTGGATCCAGAACTGTACATAATATTGTATAATAGCTGTGATCTAAACAGTGTTTTATACAGTTCCAGCATAACCACCCTGTCCTTAAAACTCTATACTTCAAGGCAAGTGTCCCATATGTCAACTTCACCACTTTACCTACCCTGTCCCACTACCTTATGGGACTGATGGATATTCACATCTAATCCTCGGTGTTTCCCAGAGTCCTATCATTCATCATGCCTTTGCTTGCTTTGTTTATCTTACCCAAATGCACCACCTCGCACTTACTGAATTTCATTTGACACTGATCAGCGCACCTGACAAATCTGTTTATATCTTCCTGTAATCTTAGGCTATCCTCCTCACTACTTACCACCCCATCAATTTTTGTATCATTCCTGAACTTATTGATCAACCCTTCTACATTCAGGCCTAAATCATTTATAAATACCACAAACAACAAGGTTCCCAATAATGATGCCTACAAACCTCACTGACTCAGGCTTCCAGTATGCTCAAGTACACCACTAAGAGTCCAAAAGACAACAGTCCTACACTAGTTGTTAGTGTAATTCCTGGCACTTGTTGGATTGTTTAGCAAATGTTGTCCAAATGCAAGTTCTTATTTCACTGCTGGGGTCTCACACACCCCACCCTGCCTTGACTCTCCTATGCCACCTCTTCATCCCCAAGGACTCACCCACTTGTACAATCACCTACTCACTGCAGTTACATCTTGCACCTCCCCGAGCACTTCACTCTTGGGGTGTCTCTGACAACAAACCCACCCAATGACCTGCTGTCCAGGGACACTCATTTGCTCACCATCTCATTCAAACCTCCAAAGTACTGAAAGGGATAGACAGGCTAGATGCAGGTAAGATGTTTCCCCTGGATGACACGTCTAAAAGTGGACACAATTGTGAGGGGACACAATTTAAACATAAAGAGTCTGAGATAAGGAGATAACAAGGTGTAGAACTGGATGAACACAGCAGGCCAGGCAGCATCAGGGGAGCAGGAAAGCTGATGTTTTGGGTCTGGACCCTTCTTCAGAATTGTTTTACTCAAAGATTCATGGCCTTTGGAATTTTCAATCACAGAGGGCTGTGAAAGTTCAGCCCTTGAGTATCTTTAAGGTAGAGATTGATAGATTTGTGATTACTGGGGCGTACAGTATTATGGTGATGGGTGAGTAAAAGTGTTTGATCAGCCATGTTTTCATATTTGGTGGAGCAGGTTTGACAGGCTGAATTTCCTATGCATGTTCCCATTAGCTTATGTTACTGTATCATTTCTTATTGAAAATACAATTCAAATCTGTGTTAGCGTAATTAAATCTTCTTTAAATTTCTATCTCAATGCTACAGATGGAATTGCAAGATGATGGTATAGTTCTGGGTCTCGACCATGGATTATCCAGGGACATAATTTCCATCATAAACAATGTATTCCAAGCCCCATGGGGAGGATCGCATACCTGCCAGAAAGATGAAAGTGCAGTTGAATGCAACCTGTGTCAATCCAGTATTTTGTGCTACCAACTAGCATGTGAGCTGCTGGAGCGATTGGCACCTAAAGAGGAAATCAAACTGGTGGTAAGGAGAGAATGGTACAGGGTGAAATGTGGTTTGCATATTAGCTCTTGAGACTGAACTTTACACTTCCCCGGCTGACAAATTTGAAAGTACTAGAGGAAGAAGGTTGGTGATATGTAAAATCTACCAGCTGGTCTTCCTCCACCCAGTCACTCACCTCTGACCTGTCTGACATGTTACATGCCACCTACCTTAAGTCTTATTGGAGGCCTATCCCACGTGGAAGCTGAATAATTAGCACCATGGGCTGGTGCTGGGCCTGGAGGAGGTTTCCTTCTTTTGAGGTTCTGCGGACCATCCTATCTCGCTTTCCTAGGATCATTGCTCATCCCCCTGACATATTGAATCCAGTCCTCTCAGCTTCCTCACTGAGATCCTCAATCACGAATTTACCTGGGCTCCTTGGTGAGCTGGGTCTGCTTGTAGTGCCAGCAGTGACCACAGTTTCTCATTTCGTGCTAGTGGGAATACAGAACTGCTGGCCAATTGGATTGGTTGCAAGTCTTTGAAGTGGTGGGCATCCTCCTGAGACAGTGGTAGAAGTCTCTTGTTAAAACATTTAACACTACTTCCACTATTAAATTGCTGCAAGACAACTGTCAGATTGTGGGCAGGTTCCCCTCTGACCTTTAGCTGGGGCCAGGGGTGGGGGAATGCAGGACTGCAGCACCCCTAAAAATTCAACCTTTGAGTATATTTTTGAGATGACATTAATTAATTACTTTTTAATGTGTTCCTGTAGGTTTAGAAAAGTGAAACTTTCCTAATGCTGAAGCACAGTGTTAATCTGTAAATCTTTGTCTATGGCAAAATGGCTATTCCTTCCTATTCTGATTGTAGACAGCCCCATCTTAATTCTCTAAATTCAAAGGGGAGCAAATGTGGGTGTATCTGTGATAGCTATTTTAGATTTGGGCTTCATTCTCCTCTGCCAAACTCCCAACTCCCCCAGGATCATCTAAGACAAGCCCTGTTTCTTTCTTCATTTCCAGACACCACCTGAAACTCATGCTGCTGACTTCTATCTAATGATAGTTCATGTAAATCCTGGATCAGCATGTATTTGTTCTCCTTTAGGAACCCACTGACAGCTTTGAAGACAGTATGCTGTTTTCTAGGCCTGAATTCACTATAGGTTTTGAAGGAGAAGAAGATGATAATTCAAGAGACGATAATTCAAAAGAGAATGAAAATCAATTGATCAATAACGGATGTGAAGAAAACCCTGGTATGTGATGTTAATAGTTATCTTTACAAAATGTGCTGAAACTGGCTGCTTACAAGTTTTCATTGACAATAGTGGAAGCAGTGACAGTTCAAAGATGATTTATTGGAGACATCATTAGATGTGATGTGACATGAGCGAGTTGATTTTTTTAAAAACAAATCAATTTAATTGCTAAATCTGTATACAAAGGTTTATTAAATTTCACATCTAACTTTGTACCTTGATCAGTAATAATGACTTGTCATAATTATAGAACTTATTGTTATATGCTAACATGTAAATCAAATGAAAAGTAAATAACATTCTGCATTAAAATGTTAGTACATTTTGGATAATAGCTATTGATCAAAAGGATCTGTACCTCTTGTAGTGAAACTGTTTTTAAGAGGTAATGACAACTGAGGTGAATTTCTTCCAATTGTTTGATGTAACTTGGTGAACTCTGAAAAAATTCTCTAACCTGTTTTTTAATACTGTCATTCCATGGCTCTTCCACTGAAGTTACAGTGGATGATCAGGAGGACTGTGGCATCAATTTACCCCCAGTAATATTGGTCACTTTGGTCCTTCTTTTGATCATATGCTTGCAATGATGTTTGAAAATCTAGAATATTTGGTCAGTAACTTCTAACCAAGTGAAGATGGTGTGTGACTTAGAGGGCAACTTGAAGCTGATAGTCTTCCCAAAAGAGTGTTGGTCTTGTCCTTCTTTGTGGTAGAAGTCACAAGGATAGAGATGCTGTCAAAGCAAATTTGTTGATTTGTCACAGCTCGTCCCATAGCTAGCACATATTATAACTGCAGTCCTCTGACGATGGAGGGGGAAGGGACCTGATTTAAGTGGACTAATCTGAACTGGGTGGTATTGTGCTACATTCAGATGCATGTTGCATGTTACATTGTATTCCTGACTTCCATACATTCCTCTATGTGGAAGAGGCAAAGGAGCCATGACCTTGACTATGAATTCCTTGTGTGCTATCTTTGTAGCAATTATCCAGAGACCAAGTATGGAATCTTCCCAGCTCTGAATGTTGTGGGTAATGGTGAGTCAGTTGGGAAAATATGGCAAAATTGGAAGAAATTAGATTCTCAATTCGAGGAAAAAATTTCAAATTCTGCAACAAGGTTTTGAACAGTGCTAGTGAATGGCATGGCCTAAATGCATGTATTTGCATGCCTACTTTTTAAATTCATTTGTAGAATGTGGGTATTGCTGGCTGAGCTACTACTGATTGTCCGTACCTAGTTGCTCTGGAGAAACTGATAGTGAACTGCCTTCTTGCACTGCTGCAGCCTGTGTGCTGTAGGTAGACCCACAATTTTACTGAGGAGAGAATTCAAATTTAGACCCAGTGACAGTGAAGAATTGACGACTTATTTCCAAGTCAGGATGGTTAATGGCTTGCAGGGGAACCTTCAGGGGTTGGTGTTCCCATATATCTGCTGCTTTTGTCCTTTTAGATGGAAGTGGTTATAGGTTCGGAAGGTGCAGTCTCGGGATCTTTGGCAAATTTCTGCAGTGTATGTTGTGGATTGTACACATTTGCGCTCCTAGTGTTATTGGTGGGTGGAGTGGATCTTTGAGGATGTGGTGCCAGTCGAGTGGGCTGCTTTGTCCTGGATGTTGTCACACTTCTGGAGTGTTGTTGGAGCTGCACTCATCTGGGCAAGTGGTGAATATTCCATCACACTCCTGACTTCTGCCTTGTAGATGGTGGACAAACTATGAGGAGTAAGGAGATGAGTTATTCGCTGCAAGATTCCTAGCCTCTGACCTGATTCTGTAGACACTCTGTCAATATTGCGAATCCAGTTGAGTTTCTAGTCAATGGTAATCCCCAGGATGTTGATAGTGGGAGATGTGGTGATGGTAATGCCTTTGAACATCAAGGTCCATTAGTATCTATTCTCTCCTCATTGTTCTAGAGGATCCTGTTCTTCTGCAGTCAAATAGAAAACAGATGGCGATAATTCCTGACATGAAAGTTAGAGCAGTAACTTGGCAGCTCCACTGCTTGTTCCTTTGGACCTCTATCTTGGATGGAAGTCACCAACAGCATGACCACTCACATTACAAAAAACTTGGTCTGTTTCTGATATTCCCCACACAGGTTTATTGGAACTGTGAATAGAGGAGGAACAAATCTGCTAGCAAGCCCAGGACTAGCAGCAACCTCCAATGGTTGTTGAACAGTTGAAGTACCCTGAGGATAATCAGAATTGTAGGACACCCAGAATCTATTGTCCTTAATGCCATTTCCACCAGATGAGCGAAGTGCAGTATTTCTACAGCCTCAGGCTGTCTTGAGAAACTGTCACAGAATAGTCTGAACTGCTGGAGCAAAATCTGCAACCTGAAGGGGTGTGTGGCTGTCTGTGTTTTCCCTCTGCTTGATCCATACTCTTCCAATTGTGCTGACGTCTTAAGGTTGGGACACGGCAGTGACTTCTATGTGCAGAAATCAGTATGTTGGCATGCTGATTGGTACATGCAGCACCTCCACACGGCTATGGGCTAAGCACCTTGGCAGGAACATAGATGGCCTTTTTAATCCCACTGGCTGTCAAGGTGACATCTTATAAGAATCATTACAGTGTAGAAGCAGGCCATTCGGCCCATCTAGTCCACATCACCCCTCCGAAGAGCATCCCACCCAGACCCACCCCCTACCCTATCCTTGCATTTCCCACCCTAGACACTATGGGCAATTTAGCACAGCCAATCCACCTAGTCTGCACACCTTTGGACTGTGGGAGGAAATTGGAGCACCCAGGAGAAACCCACGCAGAAACAGGGAGAACGTGCAAACTCCACACAGACAGTCACCCAAGGCTGGAATCGAACCTGGATCCCTGGCACTGTGAGGCAGCAGTGCTAACCACTGAACCACCGTGCGATAAATTTGTTTTTGCAACTGGCTGTTTCCAAGGATCCACTAGGGAACCTGTGTAATATCCAGTAGCTTTCAACTTATAAATATGTCGAGATTTTTATCAATTCAATTTGTGCGAAATCACATCACTTCATCTCATTTTCCTCCGAAAATGGCAATGCCGTAGCTCAGGCCATACGTAGCTCCCACAGCCAGCTGCCCCTAGTGGCTGGGTATTATCAACTTTACACGCATCTTATTAAATGCAGCAGACTTTGTCAACAGTTAAAAAAGGGTTCCATTCTGTTAGTTCATCACATTTAGAATCTGCATAATGTACACTGGGAGCTGCCATGATGCCTATGTCCTGGAGAACACCAATGTTTCTCCTTCATTTCTTGGGCCAGATGCCATTATAAGGATGGCTGCTGGGACACAATGGTTACCCTCTGCAAACACAGCTGATAATTCCATTACGCATACCCTTCCCTAACTGAGGCTGAGTGTAGAAGTAACGCAGCCAATTTTTCAACCAGGGCTACCATGGAGCAGATGATGGGCTTCCCAAAGATGAAGCTCTGATAGCTGGATTGTTCTTATGGATAGTTACACAGACAGAGCGTACTCATAATTCTAGCTTGTTGTGATGTTTACAATTGGAGCAGGCAAAGAGGGCATGTGATGGAAAATGATGAGCTTGGAGAAGGACAGTGGCCTTCCAAGGAGGAAGATGAAGATCGAGTCTGCACTGACATAACTAACACGAAAGCGTGATAATCCCGATTTCCTGCACTTGTCCCATAACCTTGCAAGTGCTCATCCAAATATTTTTTAAAGGTTATAAAGTTTCCAGCCTCCATTACCTTCCCAGGCAGTGCATTCTGGATTTCCACTACCCTCTGAGTGAAAAAAGTTTTTCTCAAACCCCCTCTGAATCTCCCGCCCCTTACCTAAAACAATGCCCCTCATAATTGACCCCTCAATGAAGGGGAAGACTGTTCTCTGTTCAGCCTATCCATTCCCCTCATAATCTTAGACATCTCAATCATGACCCCCTTAGTCTCCTCTGCTCTAAAATAAACAATCCAAGCCTATCTAGTCTCTCCTTACAGCTCAATTTCTCCATCCCAGGCAACATCCTGATAAATCTCCTCTGTACTGCCTCTAGTGCTATCATATCCTTCCTGTAGTGTGGTGACCAGAACTGCACACAGTACTCCAGCTGTGGACTAACCAATGCTCTGTACAACTCCAACGTTACCTGCTTGTTCTTCTAGTCTAAGCCATGACTGATGAAAGCAAGTGTCCCAAATACCTTCTTAAGCATCCTATTCATGTACTCTGCCTACTTCAGGGATTTGTGAATAATTACCCCAAAATCGCTCTGTTCTTCGAAGCTGCTTAGTTCCTGCCATTCATTAAATACTCACTCATCTTGTTTCTTCGAAAGTGTATCACCTTGCACTTATCAGATTTAAGTGCTATTTGTCAGTGCTCTGCCCATCTGACCAACCTGCCTATGTCTGCCTGCGACCTACAATCATCCACTTCATTATTAACCACCCTACCAATCTCGATGTTGTTCGTAATTTGCTTAATATTCCCTCCACATTTTCATATATATCATTTATGTATGTAACAAACAATAAGGATCCAGTATTGTGGTACACTGCTGACACCAACCTCCAGTCACTGAAACAGTCTTCTGCCACTACCCTTTGTGTCCTATTACTAAGCCAGCTTCTGATCCATCTTGCCAAGTTTCCCTCAGTTCCACGAGCTTTAACTTTTTTGATCAGTCTCCCATGTAGGACCTTGTCAAAAGCTTTGCTAAAATGCATATAAACTACATCAACTGAACTTAGCTCATCCAGTTTGAACAGATGTGTGCTAGGTGCAATGATCATTCATTGATTGTACATTTGTTGCTCAAAAAGCCAAGTAGTTCTTATGTGATCCCTTTGTGATTTCTTTGTTTACCTTTTGTTCACTTTTGTTGTCATTGAATAAAAGTGAACATTTTCACCTGCTTGAAGGCTTTCCAGTATGTGATTATCCCACATTGAAAATGAGAAGATGTTATGCTACACAGGGCATTAGCAAAAGATGCTAGTGAGGGGTAGCCTTTGTAGGTTGATTCTTAGAACTGCAGTTGCAATGATGGCTGACCAGAGAGGTGATGATGTAAAACAGCAATACATCAATGAATATCAACTTGTATTTACAATGAAGTGCCACCTGTAGAACTTCTGTGCCCTCAGAAGCTTTGCTTCTATTTGCTCCATTTGCAATATGTGCGCTGTGAAATGCAGCTTTTGTATGGCAACACGTGATCTGGGGCATGACTGTGTTGTAAACATAGCCCCAGGACCTGAAATCCGGGGAGGTCCGGTGGTGAGTACTTCCACTATTGCTCAGCATGTGATAAAGTGAGTAGAGTGCCGTAGAGGTCTGGTGCACATCTAATGAGGCAAGCTGAGGAGAATAGCATGAGAAAATTCACTGTAGCTCATGGAGAGAAACTCTCCTCCAAACTCTCTGAAATTGACCCACATCCAATTTTTGATAAAGTTCAGTCCTATTTGTTAGAAATTACTTCAAGTATAATTTGTTCTGCTTCAAACTAATATCAAAGTAACTTACAATTTAACAAATAATTCTGCTGTACCTTCAGAAAATTAGTAGTTATGTAGTTCCTAACACTTTTTCTATTTTAATAGAAATGAAAAATAATGCAGAGAGAAGCTTTGATTATGAACAACTTCCTGCTACGTTGAAGTTAATACATACAATATTGCAGGTAATCATGATTTGACATATTCAGTTATATTTCAACACTTATGTCTTTTAATTTCTTCTCCGTGCTTCACTTGTGTGTGTCAACAGGAAACCCCAAATTGTGAGGAGCCAGACATTCTTTTCAACATGCTCAACTGTTTAAAAATACTGTGTCTCCATGGAGAGTGTTTGTATCTTGCCAGAAAAGATTATCCAAACTTTCTTGCTTATATTCAAGAGAAAATGTTGATTTCCAGGTAAGGTTAGCAGCGTGTGAAAGACGAGTAACTTATCAATAATTGTTAGAATGTGTAATCTGTAAACATGTGTCTCCCCATTAACTGTATAGTTTCCTAATATGTTTGTAATTTGTTCGCATATTTGGAACTTCGTTCCAGATTTTCTGACTCTTAACATTAATTAATGGAAATTTTTACAGAAATATAGACTAAAGATGTGCAGGTTAGGTGGATTAGCCATGGTAAAATGCAGGGTTACAGGGTAGGGTGGGGAGGGGGGTTCCTGGTTGGGATGCTCTTTGGAGGGTCAGTGTGAACTCGATGGGCCAAATGGTCACACTGTAGGTGTTCAATGATTCTATGATAGAAGCTTTTGTAGCAATCATTAATTTGGTGATTTAGTGTTTTATTTCAAATCTCATGATACTCTAGCAATTTTATTTCCTGGTAATCAACTCGTGACAGTTGTTAAATCAACTTCCAGATCTTATGCAAGAATCAGCCCTTAAATATGGACATAACACTGGATCAGTAACATGGAGTGCAACAAGCATGTTATCCATAAACGGCAAAAAACAATAGTATAATGATAACAACAGAATATAGTATAACTCCAAAAGCGTGAATTGCACGATATGTTGTAAATCTAAAAAATACTGATACTGCACCCGGAGACTCAGAGATCAAGTGTGATCTTTGTGAAAAATGAGGCTAGATGATGAGAGTGTAACTTGACCAAAATGTCCACATGTAATGCAGTCTACATCTTCAAGTAATAAAATAATAGAATAATAGACTTTTATTGTACAGAAGGAGGCCATTCAGCCCATTGTTTCTGTACCAGTTCCTGAACGAGCTACCAATTTGTGCCGTCCTCCAGCCCTATCTCCATAGCCCTCGAAATTCATCACTTTCAAATATATATCAGCCCTCGTTTGAAACCTACTATGGAATTTCCTCCACCACTGTCCCATGCAGCGCATTCTGAATCCTAACAACTCTAAGTAAAAAAGTTTCTTCACTTCTCACTCTTAGCTCTCTTGCTGATAATCTTGAAATTGTGACTCCTAGTTGCTAAGATACCAACTAGTGGAAGCAGAAAATCCTTCTTTTCTTATCCTTGTATCTTAAATCCCTCATTCCTGGTATTATTCTAATAAATCTCCTTTGCACTCCCTCCAGGGCATTAACATCCTTTCTTAAATAATATACCAGAACTGAACACATTACTTCAAATATGGTGTGACTGATGATTTGTAGAGGTGTAGCATCACTTCCTTGCTTTAATACTCTATGCCTCAATTTATAAACCCAAGGATCTTAGAAGCCTTCTTAGCACTTTTAAATTGCATGGCCACCTTCATAAAATTATACACTTGAACCCTGAGGTCCCCCTGCTTCTGTACTCAGAGTTATACCATTGAGCCTGTATTGTCTGTCCATGTTCCTTCTACCAAAATACATTCTCTTACATTTATCTGCATTGAAATTCATCTGTTCGCTTCGCCAACTTGTCAGTGTCCCTTTGAAGTCACTCAGTGTAACCTCATAATTCACTATTCTCCCTAGCTTAGTATCGTTTGTATTTTATTTTCCTTTTGTGTATACTTTATGACTTGAAGCATGCTCCTCTGTTATAATCCAATAGCTTAATGTTAGCCTTAATGTTGTGTTTCATAAATGTGACGTATCTACAGCTGTTATAAATATTTGTAGGATTCTTGAACAGCACAGTATCCACGGTCAGTTTCTAATGTTGGGAGATAACAAAAGCTTTGCCACATTAGGTAAAACATTCTGTTGGAGGCTCCTTGCCAGTTGTGGGAGTGCCTCCTGTTGGAAAGGTGCGGTTGTACCGTGATATGTTTACATGACCACTAAACACATTAAATATTGAAAGAGAGATTTATAAACAAAATGAAGGTGTCCGCTGTTATTTGAGTTCTTTAATCTAACATAGCTTGAAAGCATTGGCCTGGATTTTGCAGTCGTAATGGTGGTGAAATTGTCCACCAGCATAACCGTTGCTCCATTGAAAATTACAGCACGTGCAAAGGACAGTTTGGAAATCCAGAAGTTGATATGAGTAACTCCATGCTTCACCAGTTTGTGCATTTAAGGCATTTCCCCCTCACATTTCCCTCCATCGCATTGCAGTTAATGGAAATTGAACTAATGAAAAGTTCTAATCTCATGCTTTTGGTTTCACTGTTTGAAAAAAAGCCTTGACAAAGTTTCTCCTTGTCGAATGGGGTGAAACAGTTTTTAATAATGTACTAACTTCATAATTATTGCTAAACACAATGGTCCTGAAAGGTTTATAATACAGAGTAACAAATTGTACATTTTTAAAATGAATTTTGAAAATGAGTTAGTATATCTTAAACCAACTGTACAGTGACTATTTACTTTGTTATCCCAATTTAAATTGCAAGGAAAAGATGTTAACTGTTTTTGTTGTGTGTGAATACTTGGTTGTGGTTGACTGCTTCCTGTTCTGTTGACATCACTGCTGCTGCATTCAAAGAGATCCCCTTTACTTGGTGCTGAATTTAAACAGCTTCTTGGGAAAAGGAAATCTGTGCTAGAGAGACAATTTGATCTTTGTAGACAACTTCCTTTGATATCAGCAGCAAGTGATCTTGCTTCTCCAGATTAGAAATTCCGTGTATTATCTTTATGTCTAGAAGATAGTCTCAGACTGCATGCCTAAAACTATGGCAGTTCCTGAATGCTATCTAAACATCTCAATGAGACTGCTGGCTTGCGATTCACCCCAGCAATCCATTATTCCTTTTAAGTAACTGGCCGTATAAATTCAAGGTTGACATTGGGCAGTAAAAAATACTGAGTTCCAAAGTGGCCAGGTGATAAAATTATCTGTGATGTGAAGAAAGAAGGTACACAAATGCATTCTCTTTGTGCAGATAGCTTATAAAAATGGAAGACGCCATCCAAAGTTCATTTCTACTTGTGTCTTTTGCAGCCTATGGAAAGTACTTAAGTCTGAATTCTCACAGCTTGCCTCTGTGGCAATACCCATGTTCCTGCACGCTCTTTCTCTTTCTTGTGGTGCTGATATATTCTGGGGCATCATTGATAGCAATTTTAACAGCAAAGACTGGAAAATGCGTTTTGAAGCTGGTAAGATGAAAAAAAATACACAGTGCAAAGAATGTAAGCTATTAAAACTCAAACTCAAATACAACTTTTAAAACTCAAAAACCCTAACTTAAGATAAAAAATTCTGCAATAAAGTATTTATTTTTACTTAAAAAAATGTCTTGATGAAACAAGGTGTCAGAATTAAAATTAATACTGTTGGTTGCAAGTTTCTTTTTTTTTTAATCCCAAAGCTGTGTTGTGTTGGGCAATTGTAGCAAGAATATTTATATTACTTAACCTGCACACTATCTTGAAATCAGTCAAAGGGCAATGAAGAAAGACACATTAACCATACATTGAATTGACTGATAAGTCAGCATAAACCGTTGTATAGTCTACACATTCTGCTGCTCCAACAAAATCTGGTGCGACTGTTGCTCATAGTTTAAAAAAAAGCTCAGACTTACCTATTGCACAAATCAGGATTGATGCCATGAGATTTTACTTATCACTGCACTCCATGTATCTTGTTTGTTATTTGTTTTGCTTTCTATGCATGTCAACATAGCTAGTGTGCCATTTTTAGACACTTTGGAAATCACAATGTACTGAGGTGAGTATTCCATTCCCAAAATATCTAATTTATTACAAATATGTGTAACAATTCAAAATGGAATGAAAGTTGAAATTAAAGTGTGTGTAGCCTGAGGTGAGATACTGGATTGCCTGTGCTATGTACAGTGCTGCAGTTTAGTCATGGTAGATTTTTACAATTTTAATGATGTTTGTCAACTCTATTACTAAAATAGATACTGTAGCAACATTATAGCCATAAATTGGAGTTCTTCCTTCTAATTGAATGACCAAACATTAAAATAATTGGATGATAGCCTATTTCTGACTGTAATTTCTGTCACCATGAAGGCCCCACCTTCTTGACTCGCTCCCTGCCTGAGGAGTGGTGACCCTCAGGTTAAACCATCACTAGTCCTCCCTCTCTAATGAGACCCCAGCCCTATAGTCTTCTGGGACTCTGGTCACTTACTATAATATTAAGTTTTAAGGCTTTTTTTCAGAAAAAAAAATGATTCCAGAAGCACTTACCTGCCTTGTTAGTATTGGCATATGCATTATACATTTCTATTGCACATATTTGCACCAATGTATGTATGCTATCACGACATGTTCAGTGTAATGGGATTTCAGTAATTTCCCGAGGCTTGGGACTGGAATGAAGGGTAGTTTGATGTCTGGCTGAGCATTGCATAAGGCAGGCTTTCGTCAATGAGCAAACTAACCGGGTATAAATGTGACTTATAGGACACTGAGGATCCGTGGCTTCCAGATGGTCTTTTTGGATGTTTATAATTCTTTGTGTTGCAGTTCTCTGCGTGTCTTCTCCATCTCTCACCTGGGTACACATTTATCCTGCTATTGCTTAGCTCACTGCAGTAAATATGTAAAGAAAGATGGGGAACAACAGTCAGTTCTTATCCTATTTTGTATCAACTGATGCACCACCTCCCTGGCTGATAGAAATAGTAAATCTTCGGGCACAAAAAAATGGCAGAAAAACCTATGATCGATTTCGGGGTAAAATCTGGAAATTTCCCCCCCTCCCCCATTAGTAAAGCAATGAATGAGATGCAGGAGATTGTAGATATCTGTGACACATTACCAAAAATACATAGTTTGCTACCATCACAATAGAACTGGACAAGACTATTTCCATCCATTGGATGAGTTCCAAAAGTTACAAACTCTACCTTCTATGTCCTTCTAATATCCTGTATACTCATAGTTGGATTTCTTTGATTTTTAATTCTGATTTCTGGCTTCCTTGGTGATCTTTTGTGTATTTGTACTGTCCCATATGTAAATTACTTCTAAATTCATCTAAGGCTAAATCCGTGTTGTTTTTTTTTGTTAACATTGATTATTTCCCTTGAATCCAGTTAATCTGTTCATCTAAATGTTCGCAAGTAATTAGTTGACATCGACATCGACATCAACTTAGTTGCCTTTTCTTCTTCATCTACTTTTCCCCATTTGCAGCCTTTATTCCATGGTAACCTGGCACATATATAATTTCATAAATTAAGATTTTCTTGACTAAAGCTATCTTTCTGTTTTGGTGAATTTGAGTTTATGCCTTGAAAGAAAATAAAAGATGGCTGAGTGGCTAATATAATAAATGGTGAGCAGTTCAGTTGTTGGCTCGATTTGCTGTAGTAGATCTGGATCTTCAATAGTTAGGATGGACAGAAGGGAGTGTAATTATCTGAAAAGCTGAGGGATCAGTATTAATAGTACTTGACTAGGAACTTTCGAGTTGTCTAGGCTCAATCTTCTAAAATTCCCATCTGGAAGTTGTTGACCAGCACAGTGGGTTGCTGGTAGAGCCCATGGTATTGACCTTACTTCTGGTGAAAATATAGAAAGGGTAATAAAGCATGGCTAGTAATTTATGCTTCTAATCACTTTACCAAAGAGACATTTTGGTAGCATAGGAACAAGTTGTCCATCAGAAGTATTTACTCAGGTGGACCTTGCATCACAAGAACATAAGTAGGAGCAGGAAAAGGCCAATCAGCCCTTTTGAGCCCATTCTACCATTTGATGAGACTGTTGCTTTTCTTTCTACTCGTTCATCATTTCCCTGCATTATTCCCGTATCTCTTAGTGTTTTTAATATGTAAAACTTTATTGATCTCTGTTGTGAACATACTGACTGACCCTACAAAGATATTGGAGACAGAGAATTCCAAAGAATCACCACTCTTGGAGTGAAGGAATTCCTCCTCCTCTCAATCCTAAATGGTCTGTCTCTTTTTCTGCGGCTGTGTCCCCCAGTTCTGGACACCCTCATGCCAAGGTTTGAAGGCATTAATGTCAATTACGTTGACATCTGATCTTTAAGTTACAATGTCTGACTCTGAGAATGATCAATGTTCTGAACTAGATTTGCTAAATAAAAAAAATTTTAATTTCCAGGTAAATAAAACTGGAAATAATTTTTCGTTAAGGGCACTAGAACTGGTTAATGGAAGCTGTAAGCTTTAGTTACGCATAATAGTCTAGGTCATGACATTCAAACATTTGCTATTGTCTTTGGGACCAATTCAATGTTGTATTTTTTTTGTAGTGGAGAAAGTAGTAGTTCTGTGCAGATTTCTGGATATCCAATCTGTGACAAAGAATCATGTCCTGAAGTACTCTCTAGCCCATGCCTTCTGCTGTTTCCTTGCTGCAGTTGAAGATGTTAATCCAGCAGTGGCTACGAGAGCCAGACTTTTGCTTGATTCCATCAAAAGACCAGCTTTACAAGTAAGAGCAGACATGCTTGATGCAGTATTTTATTAAAATTCAAATGATACTTGTATTATTTCGTTTCTACTTATTTCATTGGCCAAAGAAGAAATGCTTATAATCATGGAAAAAAGGTACCGTATTCTGGTTCAATTAAGATGAGCTGTTTTTTTATTTTTTGAAGACAGCATTTGACAATAAATGCAAAGTAGAACCCCCATCCATCTTTCTTTCTCTCTAAATGATCTCTGTGTATTAGCTATACAAGTAAGGATAGCGTAGTGTTATGACGTTCAATTAGTAATCTAAAGGTGTGGGTTAAAGTCAAGCTCTGGCAAACACTGTCGAAAATAATGAACTTGGAGATTTGTGGATTAGCATGACCAAAATAATCTTGAAAGATTATGGATTGTCATGAAGACCTGTCTGAATCACTAATGCCCCACTTCAGAGAAAGTTTCCCACTTTATCTGTTTAGCTTGTTAAAAAGAAAATCTTCATTTGCAGCTGTGATGTGATCAGCAGAGCCACTGTTTAGTGGTCATCACTATGTGGTTTGCCAGAACATTTCAGAGGGCAGTTAAGAGTCAACCTTGTCATGGGTCTGGAATCGCAAATAGATCAGACAAGGCAGAAATAGCAGATTTCCTTTTCTAAAAGATAATACTGAATATCTTTCTTTTAAGAGAGCCTAGTGGGTATTGGTCAGTGGGAAGGGTGGGGTGGATAGGTGGGAACGAAGATGGACAGATAGTGCCAGGTTAAGGAGGCCGGGATGAGAGGGAGGGTTGGACATGGGATGAGCCAGGGTTGAGGAGATTACAGGTGAACCCCTGTTGCATTTGGAAAGTTTGTCTTAGGCCTTGGATGGAGGTAAAAGGGGAGATACGGGGCAGGTATAACACCACCTGCAGCTGCAAAGAAAGGTGTGGGTGTGGTGGGGTTGGTGGGGAGTGTGCAGTGGACGAGAGAGGTGTGGAGTGAAGGGTCCCTTCAAAAGGCAGATAGGAGTGGGGAGGGAAATATCTGTCTGCTGGTGGGGTCAGATTGCAGGTGGTGGTGGATGATGCGTTGGATGCGGAGCTTAGTGGGGTGGTATATGAGGACTAGGGGGACTCTTTCCTTTATTTAGTTGGGGGGACCAGGTTTGAGGGCAGAATGCAAGACATGCGTTGAGAGCATTGTGGATCAGTGGAGGAGGATGTTGCAGTCGTTGAAGTAGGAGAACGTCTGGGATATCCGGGAGTGGAACACTCCATCTTGGAAGTAGATGCGGCGGAGGCAGAGGAATTGGGAGTAAGGGATTGTATTCTTGCAGGAGGGTGGGTGAGAGGAGGTGTAGTCCAGGTAGCTGTGCGAGTCGGTGAGTTTGAAATAAACGTCGGTGCTGAGGTGGTTACCAGAGGTGGAGACGGAGAGGTTCAGGAAGGAGAGGGAGGTATCAGAGATACTCCCCACTTCTATCTGCCTTTCGTAGGGACTGCTCACTCTGTGACTCCCTCGTCCACTCCACACTGTCCAACAACCCAGTCACACCCGGCACCTTTCCCTGCAACTGCAGGAGGTGCAACGCCTGCCCTGACACCTCCCCTCTCACCTCCATCCAAGGCCCAAGACAAACTTTCCAAATCTGACAGGATCTGACAAATCTGTATATCCTGCAACCTGGTCTACTGTATCCATTGCTCTCGATGTGGTCTCCTCTACATCCAGTGAGACCAAGCGCAGACTCGGTGACTGATTTGTAGAGCATCTGCTATAATCGACAACACCTTCCAGTTGCCAACCATTTTAATTCCCCCTCCTACTCCCTGGGTGACATGTCCATCCTGGGCCTCCTCCAGTTGTCACTTTACACAGCCACATGCAAACTGGAGGAACACCTCAAATTCCACCTCATGAGCCTACAGCCTGATGGCCTCAACATAGAAATCACCACTTTCAAAATCTCCCCACCCCTGGCCTCATCCCATGTCATCCCTGCCTCTTTAACCTGACACAACCTGTCCATGTTCTTCCCCACCTATCCGTCCCACCCTTCCCACTGACCAATCCCCACTACCCCCTACCTGCATCAACCTATCACCATCCCACCTACTTTCCCCCAGCCCCAACTCTCCTTCCTCTATTTATTTCCAAGCTCCCTTCTCCCTTCCTAGTCCTGATGAAACGTGTAAAGCCGAAATGTCGACTTTCCTGCTCCTCTGATGCTGCCTGATCTGCTTTGTTCCTCCAGCTCAACACTGTATTTATAACAGTTGCCCATTCCTCACTTCTCACTGTCCAAGGTCCCTAACACACCTTCCAGGTGAAGCAACAGTTTACTTACACATCTTTCAATCTAGTCTACTGTATTTGCTCTAAAAATGCAGTAACCTTTGCAATGGTGAGACCAAATGCAGACTGGATGATGGCTTTGCAGAGCACCCCCTCTCTGACTATAGGAATGACCCCAACCTCCCAGTTGCTTGCCATTTCAATAAACCACCTTGTTCTCATCCTAACATTTCTATCTTGGGATGCTGCAATGATCCAGCGAAGCACAGCGCAAGCCCAAGGGACAACATCTCATTTTCCGCATAGGCACTTTACACCTTCTAGAACTCGATAGGAATTCCGCATAAGGAGCCTGACCTCAGTGTGTTCTCCATTTTTCTTATTTTAGTCTTGTTTGTGTTTTGTTTACTTTGCTTTCAGCTGAAATGGCCCATTTTCAACCATCCACACCTTACTTTACACCAGATTTACTTCTCTATTTCTCTTTCATACCAATTAGCAACCCTTAAGCATTGGACTTGCAAACTATCTGTTTCTCTTGCTTATCCTCTGCCTCTGTCAAAACTATGTAAAAGAAAACACCATTTTCCAACCCTTTTCAGGTCTGAAGAAGAGTCATACTTGACTTGAAATGTTAACTCTGTTTCTCTCTCCACAGCTGCCAGAGCAACATGATCACAGAATATACTTTGATAAGTGGGCTTTACTGACCAGCACCAAGGGTGACTTGGTAGTAGCACAGCCGGATGCCCTTGTTCATACTTAAATGTTAGCTTTCAGACTGGGCTTGCATTGGATGGTGAGGCAATGGCTTAGTGGTATTATTGCTGGACTGTTAATCCAGAGACCTAGATAATGTTCTGGGGACCCAGGTTCAAATTCTACCACAGCCGATGGTGGAATTTGAATTTGATTTTAAAAAATCTGGAATTAAGAATCTGATGATGACCATAAATCCATTGTTGATTGTCAGAAAAACCCATCTGGTTCACTAATGTGCTTTAGGGAAGGAAACTGCCATCCTTACTGGTCTGGCCTATATGTGACTCCAGACTCTCAGCAATGTGGTTGACTCTGAACTGCCCTCTAGACAATTACGGATGGACTTTAGGGATGCTGCTCAGCCAGCTACGCCCTCGTCCGTGAATGAATAGCAAATAAAAAATCTGCTGAGTTTCTGCAACTTTTTTTCCAGATTTCCAGCATGAACAGTGTTTTGCTTTTATATAACCGTTTTGCTATATTTCCTTACATGTGGCTAAAAAATATTTCTGAAATAGCCTGGAAATTTCTGTGGATTTAAAGCAATTGTTACAAACTTTAATTGCAAGAAGGAAATCAGATCTATCTTTTGACATGGATAATACCAGGTGACATCACTAAAACCTCAGAGCTCACCTGTAGACCAACCAGATGACCTGTTTGTACTCTCAAAATCATATCTATGAGTGATGTGGAACCCAGTTTTTGTTGGGTCGGAAAAGGCCAGATTCCTGTTAAAACGTCCCTGTTTCTGTGTTAACTGATAAATCTTGTACAGACATGCCTTGTAGAATGGTAAAGAATTGGTGGGAAATATTCTTAGTCTATAATACTGATGTTAGATCCATGAAGCCTCATGGCTTCAAATAAGACAGTAGCAAGGAGACTATTGATTGCTCTCCTTCATGCTGAGCATCTCACAGAGGGAGTTGTAAGAGCAACATGAGCACAGAACGTACTCTGATAAGAGGACTTTACTGGCCGGCACCAAGGGTGATTTGGTAGTAACACAGCTGTCTGCCCTTGTTCATGCTTAAAAGTTTTCACTTTCAGACTGGGCTTGCATTGAATGGTGAGGTAACCAACACAAGGAAGTAATTTGCTTGACCATATCTTCCCACCTATCTCTTTTTGAAACATCTATCCATAATATTGAAAGAAGTGACACCTGCACAGTACTAATCTCTGCCATGAATATATTACTTGTTTCCATACTTTGGTGAAATGTCTTGGGTTGTTGTATTTTATTAAGGGCACTGTATGAATGTAAGTTATTATTGTTATGTTAAGTAGGCAGTCCAAGATGAGCGTTCACAAGGCACTTTGTGCCACCTCAGCAACAGGATTGTGTACAAAAATAAGCACCAATGTTAATGCTCGGAACGTACCTCATCCCTTGAACAGCATCTGGCCGGGAAAACATTCCTTGCTAAATGTAGATTGTAATAAGGCATGATAGGAGTAGTGTCAGATATTTCTAAGAGTGTAGTATGAACAAAACAAAGCAGGATTTCCTGCTGTTGGACACCTAAAACAATTGAGTGTAGTCATCCAGCAACCAGTAATGAATGAATGAAAGTAAAACTACATTGCCAAGTAGTAGGGGTCGAAAAGAAAACCATGGTCTGAAGTCAAACTTGTCATGGCTGGTGTAGTGATAGGGTCACTGGACTAGTAACTAGAACGTCAAACTAATGTCCTGCTGGTCAGATCTCATCATGGCAGCTGGTGACATTTGAATTTAATAGAAATCTGGAATTAAAGCTGGCCTAATGCTGACCGTGTAACCATTGTTGATTATTGTAAAAACGATTCTGGTTTTCTAATGTCATTTAGGAAGGAAATCTGTAATTATCACCTGGTTTGTTCTATATTTGACTCCAGATCCATAGCAATGTGGTTGACTCTTAACTGCTCTCTAAAATGGCCCAGCAAGCCTTTCAGTTCCAGGTCATTTGGGGATGGGGAATAAGGGCTGGCCTTACCATCAATGCACACATCCATGAGTGAATATTATAAGAGTGGTTCTAGTTTTCAGAGACTAGTCCACACTAGCCCAGAACATCCTGTTCATTCCACAATCTTGCCTACCCTCAGTAACTTTTCACCTTTGAAAAGATTAAAATTTGAGTTGGAATCACATTTGATTAATTTGTTTTTTTCCCATAGAAAGGATGCCAAAGGCAGCCGTTTGAGTTTGCAAAAATGTATGTAAACAATAAATAACACATTGACCTAATATCATGGAAAACAAGGAACATTTGAAAGCCCTATAATATATAAATATATATGTATGTATACAGCCTGTGTGATTAACTTTTAAATTTTACTTATTTTCACGTAGGGTCTCTGTCTTTGCCTCGATTTTCAGTTTGACACTGTGGTGAAGGATAGGCCAACAATCCTCAGCAAATTATTTCTTCTTCATTTCTTAAAGCAAGACATTCCAGCTTTAAGCTGGGAGTTTTTTGTCAATAGGTTTGATACCTTGTCTCTGGAGGCGCAACTTCATTTGGATTGCAACAAGGAATTTCCATTTCCTACAAGTAAGTATCATTTTCAGCTTCGACTTTCTAATCTTCTTACTGGAGTGTGTCGGTGCCACCTATTTCCAATTCTAAAACCATAGAAAGGAGAAAGGACAGGTTCATTCTAATGGGATTTGATTTACATTGTACAAAAATTCATTGAAACTTCAGGAATGAATATACTACAGAAGAAGAAAGCAGAAAGTTCTTCAACTTTCAATCAATTTTTAAAAAAATCAAAGCCACTAAAACAGATAATCTGGTCATTATTCTGTTGTGTTTCCAACATTACAGCAGTAAATATGCTTCAAAAAGTCTTCAGCCCCATTTTGGTATGTCCTGTCATATCAGGTACTTTATTTATTTTAAAAGGCAGTTTATTGATGTCTGGTATACAGTTTTGGGCAATGCTCCCTTTTTCTTTTGTTCAGTATGTGTACCATTGAGGTCTATGCGTAGCATCGACTTCTAAAACTGGAAGTCATTGCATCGACACGTGGAACCTTGGAATAGCGGCCGAGCACGTTAGGGGAAACATTGCTTCCCTAACCAAAAAATGGACTAGCTCGTCCTAAATCAGGAAGTTGACCTTGTTAGAAAGGGAAATTTGACCCCATTGTTACATGACTAATACTACAATGTGGTTGGTTATGGCAGACAGAGTGGAGTGGGCAGCCTGTTTTTTTAAAGTTTTTAAATGGCAAGCAGGAAAGTTTGTATGATATTAAAGATTCTTTCCTTTTATTTTCATGTATTGCTGATATGGACGGAAATGGAAAAAGAACTGGTTTAAAAGGCAATGATTGTTGAAGGACTGCTGTGCTTTTTTTAAAAAAAGCAAGTAACCATGATCCTCATTGCAAGTGCTGTTTATACAGCTGTTTGTTCAAATAGTAGGCAAAGTCTTGATACAGATGGGCTGGTGCCAGGGCAGGGAACAAATAGACCTTTGGCTGACAACGTGTAGGCGATTGGTCTATGGACTAGTGATCAGTTTTTGAAAACAAAGGCCTTCGGTTTACCAACACCTATATGATTGGCTCCCAGCTGAATAGCTTGGGGAATGAAGGTTTGGCTCAGAAGCCATTAGACCTCTGGAAAGGAAGGAACTGTTTTTGTTCTGCAGTAGAAAGCATCTCAGGATTGAAGAATGCCACTTATTTCCCTTCTCATTGCTTTAAGCTGTGATTTTTGTTTAATAAGGTAGAGATCTTCAGAGAGTGAAGTAGTTACCCTGTGCCTCCGAACAGGTGAAGGTGTCCTGAGAAGGGAAATTAAAAGCCTACAATCTGATCAGCAGAAAGGTCATCTCAGCAAACCCTGCAGACAGGGATCACAGAACTGCCTTCCCAGTCTTTCATTCAACCCATAACACCAATTTATTTTTGTATTTGTCTGTATGTGTGTGTGTGTAGAGGTGGAGATTTATTAGTGAGTTAGAGTTTTAACTAGTAGTTATATGTCAACAGTTCATAATGGTTTATCTGTAGCTAGAATCTACTTACTTCTAGTCAACTGGAATTCATGTTAAGTATAAAAATCGTTTTGTTAGCCTGTGCCTAAAAGACAGGTAAATTTGAGAATTCTGCGTACTTTTTAAACTCATTAATGGTATTGATGCCTTGGAGAATAGCAGGGCTTAATTTCCATTGTGCTTCCCTAGTGAGGCATGCCACCATTTTGGAGGGTGGTCTTTGCCCATCAGGGACACACCCCATCCTAGAAGGTAATAATACCCTTCCTTCCTGCCCGCCTACACTTCCATTTACCCCAGCCCTCGAGCCCCCCCAGCACCTCGCCTCTAAAGTGGGTAAGTCCGCTCTACCCAAAGCCTCACTGACTTACCTGGACCCAGGTTTCCATTGGGCTTCCTTCCATAGGCCTGCCTCAAACCAAGCAGCATCCACCATGTGGGGCAATTGGAGCTGAGGGACAGAAGTCTCATCCTGCACTAATTTAGCCTGCTGTAGCACTTTGTATTTGCAGATGGGCTTGTTCTATATTTGTTGACTTGCTGCCAACTTTTCGTCAGAGGATGTGAGCCATCTGCTGCTGATAAATTTCTGCTAATGTTTCAAATCAAGATTCTTATGAATGTTCCTTAACCAGACATGTTAATTCTGTTTCTCCCTCCACAAATGCTGACTGCTAAGTGTTTTCAGCATTTTCTGGTTTTTATTTCAGAATGGCACTGCTAGTCTACTGTGGTACAAGATTTAAAGTAACAATGTAGTGCTGCATACGTGGTACTTCGAACAATACTTAATATTGGACCAATTCTTGGGATTTCTTTTTCTTGCAGATATGAGATTAAGTTTTGGTATTTCAATTTATATCATTTACCTTTGATAAAAATATAAAAAATTAAGCATTTGTGCAGTATTGAATTACTTATGCAGTGCGCAAACATGACATTCAATTCAGATGATCTGTGTCTGTATTTATTCTCCATATATACCTCCTCTCATCCAGTTCAGCTAATTCTACAGCTTAATCAAAGCACAGAATTGCTACAAGCAAAAAAAGGCCATTTGGTCCAATGTGTCTGCACCGGCTCTTTTAAAAAATTGTATAACTTAGTCCCATTCTCCTATCCTTTCTCCATGGTACTACACATTATTTAAATTGAATCTGCATCCATCATGCTTCTAGGCAGTGCATTTCAGTCCTGAACCATTTGCTGACTGAAAAAGTTTCTTCTTGTGTAATATTTATTTCTTTTTTAATTGACTTTAAATCTGTGCCCTCCTTGATCTGTTAACAAGTGGCAACAGTTATTCCTTGTCTAATTTGTCCAGATCTCTCGTAATTTTGAAAACGTCAATCAAAATTGCTCTTCACTTTCTCTTCTCCAAGGAAGAGAGCACCCTCCCTTCATAACTTGTCCCTGGAACCAAGCTTATAACATTCTTCTGCAGTTTCTTCAGTGTGCTCAATACTTTCTTAAATGTGGCACCCAGAGCTGTCATACTGTATGCTCTGTTAACCTTCTGTTCCTTTCACCCTTGTGATTGTGTAGCTCCTACTTGAATCCATCTATGCTGCTTTCCTCAACTGCCTGTCATAGTAGAGTTCCATATTCCAACCATTCTCCCAGGTAACAACGTATCTCCTGAATTTCCTATTAAGTATACTCATGTCTGACTTGGATATATTGTCCCTATCAAATGCTTGTGTAAAACCATTTTAACAGCCTTTTCTTAATAGAGAAAAGGGCTTCAGCATGCTCAATCTCTCCTGACGTGCATCTCCTCTTAGTTCTGATATCATCTTTGTAAATTGCTTTTGCATCATTTCCAGTACATCAAGATCCATTTTAGAATATAGAGGTTATAGCTGTGCACAGTATTTGAATAATGGTCTAGCCAAAATTACAAATAAGTTTGACAGCATTTCAACAGTTTTCATTTGACTAGTTATTTTTCATGTTTGTATGTGCTTTTCTTCAGCTATAACTGCTGTAAGGACAAATGTCGCTAATCTAAGTGATGCTGCCATGTGGAAGATCAAACGTGCTCGCTTTGCACGAAACCGACAGAGAAGTGTGCGATCCCTTAGGGACAGTGTGAAAGGCCCAGCAGAGTCAAAGAGGGCGCTTTCTCTTCCAGAAACTCTAAGCACCAAACTGCGTAAGTGTCTTTTGCCTGAAAATGTCACTTTTGTGATTATTTATGGCTAGGTTATAAGAACTGTTATTTCAGATGAGTCGGGTTCTATTTAGTATGCTAGGAAACTCATTTTTTTTCATATATAGATATAAAAATCCAGTGCCAAATTTGCTTCCATGGTGCTGGAAGTCTTGGTGCTACAATTACTTGTTTAGGAGAAAGATAGTATCTACATTATGCACAGACCACACCAGAGTGCTTGGGAACAATGTCACGTTGAGGTTCTTAGCACGGACTGTTATCACAGAATTGTTACAGCAGAGAAGGAAGCCAATCAGCTTTTTGGTATCTACAGGAGCTCTCTGAGCTTTCTGAGCAATCAGGGCTTTGGCTTGGCATTTACAGTGACTAAAAGACAGCTTTCTAGAAGCTGCACCGTCTTCCTGTGCAAGAAAGGGGAACGTGACATGTTTGGATGGTTGGTACACATAGTTGAATAGTTTGTGCAATCTATGAAATGTTGCAACGAGGCTTGAAACGGTTCTATTTGTAGGAAGTTGAGCTAAAGCTTATGAATTTTGGGGTTTTGTCTTGATTGATAGATTGTTCATAGGTCAATGATGGGTGTGCAGTGAATTGCACAGTATTTAAGGCGAGTGGTGCAATTGGTATGATATGACATTTGAAGATTCTGTCTTGAAATTGATATGCAAACGTACAAGTTAGGAACAAGAGAAAGCCATTTGGCTTCTTGGGCTTACTCTGCTATTCACTGAGGTCATGGCTTTGCAACTTGTGTGATCATTAAATCCTCGAGCAACCTTCAGATCTTTGGGGGTGGGGTGTGGGAGGTAGCTGGGTGGGAAGAAGGGGGAAGTGGGTGTACACTTCTCAAATTAAGCGTTGCTAAAGCTTGCCAATGCCTTCAGTGCACATGTTCTGAAGACCCCTGGCCATCCTGACCATACAGGACATCATTCCTCCTTTCCACCTTAGACTAAGTTCTCCAGTATAACATTATAAACTTGTGGTGCATGCTGTCTGCTGTGATCAACCATTGTGGAATCTTTCCTAGTACAATATTCAGAAGAATTTCAATATCACCAACAACAATAATTCACTCTCTCTTAAGAGGGGGCAAACAAGCTGAGTCAGCAGATGATGCAAACATGCAGCCAATTTGCCATTTTACAGAGTGCTAGCTACACAAAGCAACTGTGGAAATGTCCCAGCTAAAGAAAGTTAGTGTCCTGCCTGCAATGTATTTGGGGGCTGGGACTATTCACAAATTTTGATCCCTTTGCCTGTTTTTAGAAATTATCTAAATTAACCCTTTGTTGATTTTAAAAACCATGTGTTAATTGTGCAAAATAATCCTGTAACTTGTGAAATTTATCAGAATGTCTTCCCGTATGAATTCTTTCCTACCAACTTCATGCTCTTTGAAAGCATTAAGAATTACAGTTTCCCAGTTGATGGAAAAGTAACTGATCAAATTTCCACTATTGCTGACTGCTAACTTCCAAAATCAGATGTTACTAATGTAAACATAATAGTTTTTTTCAAGAATTGAGCTCAGATGGGCAAATGACAACAGTGGATGACCTGTTAAGGGAATTATATTTGTATTCAGAAAATGCCATGATTATATCTTTTGTAATATGTTCTTATTTTGTTTTTCATTTTTGCAGCTTTGCGACTGACTAGACATGAGCAGTCAGCTCCAACTCTTGGTGCAATGATGGAGCATGCTATGCATGGTAAACCAGTATCAATGTTTCCAATGTTTCAACGTTATTGTGGCCACTAATTGGTGTTTCAGTAACATCCAGTTCCTAATGTATTATCAAATTATAATTCATAATTGTGTTAAATGCTGCTTCCTGCAGCAGATGGACCTTTCAGAGGTTCCAATGTTAAAACCTATTTTAAAATATATAAATAATATTTCTCTAAATTCGTTTGTGATAATCCTGAAATTAACCCCTCCCCACCAATTTTGCTATCTGAGCAAAACGAGGGAGAGTGAACTTTACAGTGAGAATGTTAGTTTGCCAGTGCATAATTGAGCATTTTGTCATGGGTTAAGGAATATTGAGTTTAAATTACTAGACCATAAAGTGGCTACTACACTATTAGCATGCTGGATAAAAGGGAATCAGTGAATGTAATCTATTTAGATTTCGAGAGAACTTTCGATAAGATACTGCACCTAAGGCTACTTAATAAGATAAGGGACCATGGTGATGAGGTTAGTATAATAGCTTGGATGGAGGATTAGCTATCTAATAGAAGACAGAGAGTTGGGACAAAGGGGATGTTTTCAGGATGGGAACCTGTAACTACTGCAGTGCCACAGGGACCAGTTCACGAGTCAGTATTATTTACAAGATATATTGATGACTGAGATGAGGGAAGTGAATGTAGTATCGCCAAGTTTGTGAGTGATACAAAAATAGGTGGGAAGGCAAGTAGTGAGGATGGCACAGAGTCTACAGACGGTTATAGCCAGTTTAAGTGAGTGGGCAAAAACTCAGCAGATTCAATATATTACAAGAAAATTTGAGGTTATGCACCTTGTCATGGAAGAATAGAAGATTAGAATATTGTTTAAACAGAGAGAGACTGCAGAAAGCTGCAGCACATGTGGATTTGGGGGTCCTTGTGCAAGAATCACAAATGCTAGCATCCAAAATCAGCAGGTAATGTTAATGCAAATGGACTATTGGCCTTTATTTCAAAGTGAATAGAATACAACAATAGGGAATAAAAACAAAGTGGTGGAGAAACTCAGCAGGTTTGACAGCATCTATGGAGAGAGAGAAAGACTTAACCATTCTGAAGGAGAGTGGTAGTTCTGTCTCTACAGATGCTGCCAGATTTGCTGAGTTTCTCCATTCTCTGACATTCATAGTATTATAAGTGGGAATTATTGATAAAACTATACAAGATATACAACAAATTTAAAACTAATTAAATAAAATAGAGACAGTGTCCAGTGATGTACTGTAGTTGCATGATGTGGGAGCTGATGGACCCCATTGTGGTTCATCGTGACCACATCTATATAAAGTGTTGTTTGCTCAAGGAATCCCTGCTCAGAGTTGATGAATTGGAGTCAGAGCTTTGAACACTGCAGCACATTGAGGATGTGTCAGAGAGTTAACTAGATGCTGTATTTCAGGAGGTAGTCGCACCCTGTAGATTAAGTACTTCAGATTTGGCCAGAGGTCAGGGCCAGGAGGGTGTGACTATGAATGAGGCAGGTACAGGGACCCTGAATTTAGCGTAGGAGGAACCTCAGCTCTTGACCTTGTTGAATAGGTAGGAGGTACTTGCTCCCTGTGTGGATGAGGAAAAATACTGTATGGGGAATGGGCAAACTGATCAAAGCACCATGGTAAGGAGGCCATTCAAGCAGGGGGAGCAAAAACGAAAGTGGTAGTGGTAGAGATTCTATGATGATGGGTACAGGTAGCATCCTGTGTAAGCAGGATTGAGAGTCCCACATGGTATGTTGTTTACCTGGTGCCAAAGGGACATTTCAAGCCGACATGAAAGGATATTGGAGAGGGAGATGGTGAATCCAGTTGTTGTGGTGTGTGTTGGGACTAACAGCATAGGCAAGAGTAGGTGAGGCATCCTGTCTGGGGAATGTCAGGAATTAAGAACAAAATTAAAGTACAGAACCTCGAGTTATAACCCAACCCACGTGCAAATTAGCATTGAAGAAAGGAAATTTAGGAAAAACATGTGGGAAAAGGAGTGGTGCAAAAAAAGAGTGTTGCTGGAGAAAAGGATTCTACTTTGTGGGACACTGACATCAGAATTGGTACAGGAAGGAACTGTACCATTGGTACAAGTTCCATTTGAACCAATCTGAACTAAATAACTGTTGGCCTACCAAAGACTGAAAGTGGGGATATTGTCAATGACTATGTTAGATACGTTGAATAAATACTTTGCCTCACTATTTGCAGTAGAAAAGGAGGATAGCTTGCTAGAAGTCCTTAGGAAATTAATAGTGGATCTGGAACAGAGACTGAAGAAAATTAACTTAAGTAAAAGATGATAATGAGGAAATTAATGGAAATATAGAACAACAGATCCCAGGACCAGATGGATTTTATCTGAGGGTGTTAAAGGAAGTAGGGGAGCACATTATAAGTGGCCTAGCTATAATCTTTTAGACTTCCCTAGATACAGGAGACATCACTCTGGATTGGAAAATTGCACGTCACACCCATTCTTAAGAATGGCAAAAGAGGAAGACCAAAGAATTATAAACTAGTTTGCCTAAAAGTTCTCTTGGGGAAATTGTTGAAAGAATGTGGGCCAAAGGCAGGTATATGGAGTTAGGCCACAGTATAAGTGTAATCTCATTGAATGAGAAACTGGGCAGAGCAGCTGAATGGCCTGTTCCTGTTCCTATCAGGTTACCCCTCAACCTCCATCTTTCCAGTGAGAACAACCCAAGTTTCTCCAACCTCTCCTCATAGCTAATGGCCCTATGTTCGTGTAAACTATCTAAAATGAAATACTTAACTTACAATAGTATACATATATTATTTGTCACCAACATGTTTGGCATATAATTTAAATGTTCCCTTTAATTACCATTGCTGGTGTATTAATTGAGTCAATTCTCACTTAATTTCAAATCCGTGACCATTTCTATTATTTTTGCCATTTAAATTAGTTAGTGGAGAGTAAAACAAAAAGCCAAGAGAACTAAACATTGGGTTTTGTGCTACATGCAGGTCAGCATTCTTCAGAGGATGATGCAATTATTAAGGATCCTTTACCAGAGGATGCCGGCATTGATCATCAAACAGTCCATCAGCTAGTCACAGTTCTAATGAAATTCATGGCAAAGGATAAGAGCAGTGCTGAAGCTGATATCAGCAGCGCCAAAGCATTCAACACAGTGAAGCGGCATCTATATGTGTTACTTGGTTATGACCAGCAGGAGGGGTGTTTCATGATTGCCCCTCAAAAAATGAGAACGTCCACTTGCTTCAATGCTTTTATTGCTGGAATAGCACAGGTAGAGTATGTCATTATTAAGGTATTTATAATTGTAGTGCAGAGCTTTAGTTTATTTTTGGCCTTTGTAAGATTGTTTAATAAGTATGCCAAGTAACTGAGTGTTGTGTCTATTAAGCAGTCTGTAAAACTGTCATGCACATGCCATTGTAAAATCAAGGTGCTATTTTCCTGCTTAAAGATTACTGCAGTTAATCTCCTCTGACTTTATCCCATAGCAATTTCACAACTGACCTATACTTTTCTGCAGACCATACCAACATTGTATATTAAGAAATCTAACACCTCTATGAAAAGAAATTGGTTTTTGTTGGTGCTGATATTTCCTTCCACAAATCACATGAATAAGAAATGAGACAGACACAGGAGATCAATATCAGACAATGTTACACTTCCTGTTAGTCCTGTTATTGCTGCCAAAGGAATTATGATAGGCCCCTAGAGAACCTACTGACTGATCATAAACATGATTCAATCTGCAATCAAGCTTACAAATGAACTGGAGAGGGGACCAATCTTCTTCCCTTCCTTGTGCCTACAAAAATAACAATAACAATCTTTCAAAAGTGATTTTGTTGATTCAAGTACTTGAAGAAATCTGAAGAATGTGTGAAGAGTTCTATATCCCCTTACTTTAAAACATATCCTTTGACATGAGAGAGAAAGAAATGTGGCTGCTAATTAATTTCCTCGAGTTTTATCCCACAACACTTTCATGGCTATTCTCAATGTCTCTGGATCACACTGATATTGTGTGTCAAGAAATCTTACAGCTTTGCTGATAATTGGCTTCTAGTGGATGGCAATATATTTCTGCCCTTGCAGACCTTGCAGCATCCCATTGGTTTCCTTCCCTTAATGGACAACTTCCCCATTCCCTGGCCCCTGGATCTCAACCGTGTTACTTAAAGTAGGCTTTGAGTCAGCCTAGTTCACCTCAGGTGGTAAGGATTTCCAAGTAGCCCATCATCCACTGTGATTTTGGAAGAAAAACCGTTTGATGGTTTGAAATTCCCTTATTGTGGCTTTGCATTGCTGCCTTTAGAGGAGATCTGCAGTTAACTGTCTTGACTTGCCTTGATACAGTACATGCCCACAGTTATGTAACTCTAGCTTGATGCTAAGTATTTCTTGGATTTGAGCACTAGACCAGAAAAGTATCTCGGCCTATATGATGTTCAGTGCTTCAGTAGTGTCCCTGTCTGCGTCAACATAATTTGTTTAAGAAATAAGCAGCATCTCTTCTTCCTCTCTGGGAAAGAAATGAGCAGAAAGAACACCAGATGGCACTCTTCAACAAAGAAAGAAAGACTTTTGCTAATCATTCTGTGTTTTGTTTCTCTGAAAACATTAACCAAAAAAAAACAAAAATTATTGCCCTACCAATCATTATTAAAATGTTGAGTTGTAGTAATCATCTTTGATTAAATTAAATTTAGCATTTAGCCCTTCTACTGCTATGATTGAATTCAGTCACTATTCTAGCATCCCTTAATTTTTACATGGGTGTTTAATGCCTTGTGTAGGCATTGGTGAAGAATGTAGTTTTCTTCTAACCCTGTATTTCCATCAATATCTATACCCTGCTAGATCTTCCTTGAAAATAAATCATGAAACACCACTATGGTTAATTATGAACATCCTGTTCCACGGGGCTGCAAGTTAAATAGAATAGAACATTTTGGGAGAAAAAGTGCCTGTGTAACTGGATTACTCGATATTCAGTTTCATTGACTTTAATGGAGCTGTGTGCAGTATAGCAGACGGCAAGGTAATCTCAGCCTTTTTAGGCCTCCTGGTTCAGGCCAGTTTCATACCCATTTTGTTTGACTTATTCAGGCTTGCATACTATTCTGGCAGCAACTGATTGCTGACGTAACTGAAGCTATTCATTTTCTTGTTGCCTGTCTGCCATTCCATTGCCAATTGTGGTTTGACTTCTTGACCCCACTTCAGCCCTATAATCAGACAGTTGGTCCCAGATGTATTGCATGCTGCGTGATGAGCCAGTTTGCTGATCTTATGATTCCAAGACTATTTTAATTTTATGTATGAATAATATGGTAATGCATGGTTATTCAGATCCAATGATGTTACTCGTAAACAGAACTAGCACCTTATTGAAGTTACCTTTTCTCCTGAAGTGCGCACACATTAAAGACTCCACTTTTTTGTGATGTGGATTTTCAGCATAAAAGGCAAAATTAATATTTTAGGGTGGCAACTGAAATGCAACTTCGGTTTCCTAAATTATGGAAGCATGAAACTAATAGTGTGGAATAATTCTCTGATGTGCCATATGTGATAATTTGTAGGAGGCAATCTACCTTACTGGTTTCATTGACTTGTTCACAGTTTTGTAAAACAAGTAGTCATGAAATGTTTGATATTTAATTCCACATTTCTTGTAGGTTATGGATTACAACATTAGTCTGGGCAACCAGCTCCTTCCTTTGGTGGTGCAAGTGCTTAAGTATTGTACCTGTCCGCAGCTACGCCATTACTTTCAACAACCCCCACGCTGTTCCCTTTGGACTCTGAAACCTCATATACGACAGATGTGGCTGAAGGCTTTGCTAGTGATTCTGTACAAGGTATAACTACATGTTCAACTAAATTAATATTGTAGTCTTGGCTAGGGTGATAGCCTATCCCAGGGGTAATGCATAGAGATTGCATTAAAGAATTTATGGTTAGACAACATTCCTTGATTGTAATCCTTTAGTGATGTAGAAATATGAATGAAACATTGAGTTTCTCTGTGCTAAATTAAATCACCAACCAGATGATTAATGATTAAATTTAAGTGAGACTGATTGAATATCATGAACTCATATTAGTTTCATGTTAGCACTTTCTAATTTGGTAAATTATCACATCTGGGGCTTGCAAGATATTTGCAATTGATTATTCAATAATTTATAACTACTTGAGTGACATTAAATGTTTGTACATGGGATTTTTTTCAAACCGTTTGTAAGCAGTTCTAAGTTAAAAACACGCCTTTGCTGTAGCTGCTGCATGAAATGTAGGCAGTCTTTCATGCGAAACAATAACTACAAAATAGTTATTCTCTCATTTCTTTAGAAACTCAGAGAAGCCCTTTGTAGAATTTTAGATAAACACTTTATTTTGCAATCGGAAGTCAAGATGGAGTTGACTGAACTATTTTTGTTCAGATTTTTCTGTGGAATATAGTCATTTGCTGGCACTTAAACAGTTCCAATTCTGCTTGTCAGTTACTGGCACTGCACTACATAATGTGGCATGCCATCACTCTGAAGTCAAGACTTTGCTTTCATAAGAACTGTTTAATCGTCATTCCTACCAATGTTGTGGCCAGATATGTCTGAAGCAAGTAGGTTGATGAGTTTAAGATCAAGTAGATCCTTCCCTTGAGCGAATGCCCTCACCACCTGATGCAGGCCCAGTTTTGAAACTGTGTCCTTCAGTACTTCAACTAGTGTTATAACCACCAGATCAGTCTTAGTGGTATAAGTTAAAGTACCTTTTGTGTCCTTGCTTCCTTCAGAGATTTCTTTAAGTAGTTTCCAGCATGTTGGAGTATTGTTTCATTGGTTGACCCAGTGGTAATAAACAAGAAATTTACTTAGATAGTAGGAACTGCCGATGCTGGAGAATCTGAGACAACAAGGTGTAGAGCTGGATGAACACAGCAGGCCAAGCAGCATCAGAGGAGCAGGAAAGC